TTTGTCAGCTTGATTATTATGTGTCTTGGTGTGTTTTTGGGTTTATCCTTATGGGACTCTCTGTGTTTCCTGGACTTGGCTATTTCCTTTCCCATGTTATGGAAGTTTTCAGCCATTACCTCTTCAAATATTTTCTCAGGTCCTTTCTCTCCTCTCCTTCTGGGACCCCTATAATGTGAATGTTGGTGCATTTAATGTTGTCCCAGAGGTCTCTTAGGTTGTCTTTTTTTGCCCCCTATATTCTGTTCTGCGGCAGTGATTTCCACCAATCTGTCCTCCAGGTCATTTATCCATTCTTTGGCCTCAGTTATTCTGCTATTGATCCCTTCTAGTGTATCATTCACCTCTGTTTGTTTGTTCTTTAGTTCTTCTACGTCTTTGGTAAACATTTCTTTGCATTTTCTCAAGCTTTGCCTCCATTCTTTTTCTGAGATCCTAAAACATCTTCACTATCACTATTCTGAATTCTCTTTCTGGAAGGTTACCTATGTCCACTTCATCTAATTGTTTTTCTGGGGTTTTATCTTATCCCTTCATCCAGGACATAACTTTCTGCTTTTTCTTGCTGATTAACTTTCTGTAATGTGGTTTGTTAGTCACTAGGGGACTGTGGTTCTTCTTGCGGCTTCTGTCTGCCCTCTAATGGAGGAGGTTAAGAGGCGTATGTAATCTTTCTGATGGGAGGGACTGATAGTGGGAAAAACTAGGTCTTTCTCTGGTAGGCAGGGTCTTGCTCAGAAAAGCTTTAATAGTTGTCTGCTGACTGGTGGGGCAGCACTCCCTCTCTGGGAGTTTTTCGTCCTGAGGTGACCCAGCTCCATGGTCGGGTTAATGGTGACCTCGGAAGAGGGTTTACACCAGGGAGGGACCTTCCCAGACTGCTGCTGCCAGTGCCCCCATCCTGCGGTGAGCCCCTGCCGACCAACACCCCCAACAAGAGACCCCCCAACACCAGCAAGTTGTTTTGGTCCAGTCTCCTGTGAGGTCACTGCTTCTTTCCTCTAAGTCTTGGTGAGTGCAAGGTTTTGTTTGTGCCCGCCAAGACTGGAGGTTCTCTTTTCCCCAGTCCTGTGGAAGTCTTGTAATCAAATCCCTCTGGCCCTCAAAGTCAGATTCCCTGGGGATTCCCAGTCCATTTGTCAGGTCCCCAGGGTGGGAAGCCTGACATGTGGTTCAGAACCTTCAAAACAGTGGGAGAATTTCTTTGCTATTACTTGTCTCCAGTTTATGGGACACCCACCTGGCGAGCATGGGATTTGACTTTTATCATGATTGTGCCCCTCTTTCCGTCTTGCTGTGGCTCTAAGGTGTTGAATACTTTTGAATAAATTTTAAATTTTAAAAAAGTCCAACTTATCCTTTTTTTTTTCCCCAACTTATCCTTTTTTTCTTTTTTGGTTAGTGTCTTCTGTGCCCTCCCCCCTGAAATCTTTCATCTATTCCAGTGTCAAAGACAGTCTATGTTTCTCCTTGCAAGCTTTTGTCTCTAGGCTTTACATTTAGATTTGATTCACCTGTGTGGGTGTGTAGAAAATAAGGGTTGAGGCTCATTCTGTTTCTTATTCAATTGTTCTACCAATATTGTTATACTCTCCTTTTCTGATGTATTAACATGATACTGTGGTCAAAAATTGATTATTTATATTTAGGTCTGTTCCTGGACTCTTGATTTTGTTCCGCTGATGTATTAGTTTATTCTTATCCTAATACCAAAGACTTGATCATTGTAGCTTTATAGTAAGTCCTGAATTCAGAAAAAACAAGTCTTCCAATTTGTTATTCTGTTTCAAGATAGTTTTGGCTATTTTTAGGTCTCTGTACATCTAGATAAACTTCAATTTTTATGTATTTTAATCAATCACTTTGTTCTTTTTTTTAAAAGTCTGATAGAATTTTGATAGGAACTGCATAACAATCGATATTAATCAATATAAGAAGAAGATACCTAAAACAGTACCTGAGTTTTCCAATTCATAAACATGATGTCTATCTTTTTATTTAGGTGTGTACATTTTTTCCCCTCAGCAATTTGTGTACTACTCAGTGCACAGTCTTTCTATAGATTTATTCCTAGATATGTGATGTTTTTCAAGGCTACTGAAGTATTATTGCTTTAAAACTTGTTTCCACTTAGATCACTAGTATGTTCTTAGGCTTTGAGTTTTGTAAGATCTTGCTAAATTCCATTTTTTCTTTTTTTTTGGTAGACTGCATAAGGTTTTCTATGTAAACAATCTTGTCACTTGAGAATAATGATTCAACTCTTGTGTTTTAACCCTTATGTCTTTTTCTTGACTGACTGCATGGTTAGGACCTACAGAACAATGCTGAACAGAAAAGGTGAGAGAAGACATCCTTGCATTAATACTTTACCATTAAGTATGATGATAAATATGGATGTTCTTTTACAGATGCTCTTTATTAAATAATTTATATTCCTGTTTTTGTACTGGGAGAGGGTGTTGAATTTTGTCCAGTGCTTTTCTGTAATCATTGGATGATCGTATGGTTTTCCTCTTTTATTCTGTTCATAGGTGAATTATACTGATTAAATTTCTCATGTTAAGCCGAACTTCTCTTCCTGGAATAAAACCTATTTGGTCATAATGTATTATTATTTTCCTTTTTATACATTGCTGGGTTCAGTTTGCTAGTATTTGAAGGACTTTTATTCCTATATTCATGAGGAATATTGGTCTATTTTCTTGTGATATCTTTTTCAGATTTCATATCACATATGGTATTTCTTAGAAGTCATCTACATAAAATAACACAACTGTTCTCAGGTATATTTTCATGGCCACTGGAAAGTTCCTAAAAGCCATATAAAAAAGTAAAAACAAAAAGGTAATTTATCTGATTCTGTGAAAATTTTACATTCTTTAAGTGAACAAAAACCTGAAAAAATCCAGAGAAAGAACTGAGATGTGAGTTAAGCTGTTAACTCAAAGGTTTGTTTTTGTTAGCTGGCATTTCTCTTCTTCATTCCATTCCACTTCTTCATCCATTTCACAGTAACAAGAAAAAAAAAAAGAACTCTGCATTGAGGATTAGGCAATCTCCACAAATGTTTTTGAATATCTTAGTTACAGCATATGATGGATAAAAATCCTGAGATTCAAACCCCAAGCATAGTGAAATTTCAAAACTACTGGGAGTTTAAATCAATTTGCAGTTTTAAAAGTAGTTCTAATATTTTCAATTCTACAAAAAGCAAGAGAAATTCTCTACCCAAGTTAAAAATGTAAGGAATCATCTAACACACCTTTAATTACAAAGGCAAAAATCATAGGGAAATTTCAGGTGATGTACACTTTTAACAATAAAAAAGTACAAATTTAATACACAATAAAATATTTGCCACTTATATAAAAAATAAAGCTGTGTATAGACACATGTGCACATACTTTTTAAGTAGAGAAAAGTTCTGAAAGGATAACAAAGTGAAAACAGCAGTTGCCTCTGGGAATAATAATTGTGTAAGAAAACTTGACTTTTTTTAGCAATGGCTTGAATTTTCTAGATGAGATTCTGTTCTGTATAATTTGTGTAACTAAAATAAACTTTAAGAAACTGTTCATACCAGTGAATCATGAATCTTCAGTATAGTAGAAATCACATACCACTCTGTGAAAATTTATTACATGCAGCTTCAAAACTAGTGTTAATGATGTTAGAAGCCACACGCTCAAACTCTACATATAGAGTTCAAAGGCTGGTTCTTTATTCAAACTATTAAACCGGACATATAACCAACTTTTTCCTGATTTATCTTTTGGGCAACAATTTGCAGGATACATTTAAGACTTCCTGAAAGGTATTTAAACAAATAGATTTAAGAAAAATTATCAGTAAACTCACTGTGAAAAATGTTCTCAATTTCTTTTTGATTCAATGACCTTGCCTCACATTCTTAATCACACACATTTAAAAAAAATGAATCATATGTTCCAAATATTTAAAATACTTGTTTCCTCTCTAAGCCTACTACCAATGACACACACAAAAAAAGCATAACAAAAAACAGTAGTAACTACCGAACAAGCAATAACTTAGTACACCAAAATTCATACACAAATTTAAAGAAAACGGCAAATGAGGAAAACTGTAACAGAGAATGGGCACAACATCAGTTATCTTTTTGTTTTGTTCTCATTTTTTGGCCATACCATGTGGCTTGTGGGATCTTAATTCCCTGACCAGGGGTCAAACCCATGCCCTCTGCAGTGAAAGTGCAGAGTCCTAACCACTGGACTGCCAAACCATCAGTATCTTTAAAATATAAAGCTCTTACAAATCCATAAAGAAAAAACAGATACTTCAAAAGAATTACAAATGACCAAGAAAACAAGTAGGCACTCTCTAATAGTCAATATAAATAATTAAAATAAGATTTTTTTTCACCTATTAAGTACAAATGAGTTAAAAAAAAATACTGCTGGCAGAGATTCATTGGCTGTTCTCAGACTTGTGTTAGAACAATATACTGGTATAGATTCTGAAGCACAATCTGACAAGCATTAGTAGCTTTAAAATGCCTTAATCAGAATTCTTAATAAGTAATTCATTCCAATTAAGATTTTCATTTTAACTCACAAATGGGTTAAAAACAGAGATTGCTAAGATGAAGAGAACTAAAAGATGTTTTCATGGTTCAGGACAGAAGACTCACCAAAGCCAAAGCAGCTACAATAAGCTTCAAGTTCTTTCTTAAACTGGAAACGTCATCAGAAGAATCAAATGGAAATACATTAAACTCCTACTGTTCCTGTGTGTTTAATTCCTGCAAGCACTCAAAAAGGCGAGGGTCAGTCTTTCATGATACCAGAAGGCAGAATATGGAGGGAATGGAAGGACAGAATGCTATTCTTTTGGTTTAGGAAATTCTCTCCTCCATTACTGGGAATAAAGAAGAGGCAACACCTTTTTTTCTTTTTCTACAAGCAAAATAGTCAGGTGTGACTATATTAAAATCTCATTTTAGTACTTTCCTATAAAGTTTACTCAAATTCTTTAATTACTGATCTAAGATGGTCTAGGTGATATTCTTCTATGAAGGATTCTGCTTGATTCAAAGCTTTTATTTTCACCAGGATAAGAACTATTTCTTTGACTTCATCCCTGAAAAAAACAACAAAAGGGCATTTTCCCTCTTAGAAATGCAATGTATAAAGGGCACAGTGAAACATCAGTAGTTAATCTGAAACAAACTTTACCTGATGCCAATATCTAAAATATATAGCATAAAGTATTTAGATGCTACTTTCTCCACATAATCATGAAATTCCACCAGAGACTATTAGTGGATATATTCTGGAAAATTTTAAAGTGAATGACTATAAAACATAGAAAAAGCACAGAAGAAATCTATCATTAGCAATCTGAGCAGTGTTGTGCGGCTACCAGCAGTTTATATGGACTATCAGGGTGGGAGTATTTATCCCACAGATATAATCAAATGCTGCAATTTGAGCAGTCATTTTGTTTGTGTTTTGAGGTGGTTTGCCAACACCATTGTATTCAAGTCCTTAAACATCTAGTGCTGTGAATGAGATCCAGCTGCTGCTGGGTAAATGCCAGGTTGCAGATCTATACTTAACAAATGTTGAGATTTTGAAATGGCTAGGAAAATTAGAAAGACATTAAAAACATGCTTAAATAAAAGGCTTTTGACTTACAGTTTTAATTCTAAATTCCCCTGTGATATAGTTTTCTGGAAGTGCTTATTTTGGAAGAGATTTACATTTAAAAATATGAACTAATATGCCTGAGGTGTAAAAGTAAAATACTGAGTGATTCTAAAGTTGCATATGAAAACATCTAATTCTACAGTGACAGTCTGAGATTTTTAAATGTAAAGTACAAATCTTCCTAAAAATTGCCAAGAACAGAAGCCTAAACAACGCTTATGGAGGTACAAATAAAATATGCATTACCTGATTTCATTTCTAGATAATTTATGTGCAGACTGCAGTAAAAACTGGATGAAATTTTCTAGCTGGGGAATGGACGTTCTCATAGCAGAGTTTTGGAACCACTTTTCTGGTAAATATGCTGCTATCTGATAATCAAAACACATGGTTGATTTTTAATGACAGTTATTAACTAAGTACTTTAACATAATCTCATTTAATCCTTATACTACTCATGTTAAGATTCCTTGGAAGATCCCCTGGAGAAGGGAAAGGCTACCCACTTCAGTATTTTGGCCTGGAGAATTCCATGAACTATATAGTCCATGGGGTCACAAAGAGTCAGACATGACTGAGCGACTTTGACATACACACTACTCATGTTGGTTGTATTATTCTTCCATTTTATAGTTCATGGTTAAATAACTTTTGAGAATTTCCTCTTTCTTTGTTAAGGTTTTATACTTAAAAAAAAATCATATTTGTATACCGAAAGCTTAAAGGAGACTATTCTTTATAAATACTTACTAGTACTTGTAATACTTTCACTACTCTGTATTCCTGAGTGATTAAATTGTACAAAACATAATCTATACTAAACACCAGAAATGTGTAGACAGAAATCACTTAGTTAACAAACCTACATTTGGCCCTTTAACAATGCAGGGAGTTAGGGACAGTGACGTATGCACAGATGAAAATCAGTGTATTAACTTTACAGTCGGTCCTCCATATCTGTGGCTCTGCATCCACAAGTTTAACCAACTGTGGATTGTGAAATACTCTAGTACGTACTGATATTTATTGAAAAAAAAATCCACATAGAAGTGGACCCATGCAGCTTAAGTCTGTGCTATTCAGGGGTCAACTGTATAAAATAGGTACATTTAATGTGATTTCACAATATGAAATTAGATGAATTTGTGTATAACCTATATGAATAAATTAGAGTTAAGAAATAAAGGTCATTCTAAGATACACTGTATAAAAAATTTATCATAGCTTTCTTCTAATTTAACACATTGCTTTAAATGTCAATGGCAGCATAAGGAGTCAATGTATGTGCATTCATTTGTTTCTTTTGGGGGGGAAAAAACCCCTCAAACAACACTTACTGTCATCATGCTAAAGGTAATACATGACTTGGGGAAAAAGTTTTGGGAAAAACCAAAAAATGTAAACAAAAAGGAAAACTTCCTTGTTGGAGAAGAATTTTTTTAAAAAAGGAGAGAGAATGGGAGCAAGGAAAAAATCTGAGATCATACTCTTTAACGAAATTCTTGGTTATGTTAGTTGCTAAGGTCAGGATCAGTAATGTACCTCTAGAAAGTAGAAAGTTGTACTATATATATATAAAATAAAATACATTAAAAGAAAGTTCTGGAATGCATGTTTTCTAAAATAAATATAGTTGGTCAACACGGAAAACACAGTTGAAAATGATTTATCCTATTTCTTAATCACTTTTTTCAATTATCTAGAAAAAACAGACCCACTAGTTGCCTAAGGCAGAAAGTCCTATAAGTCTTGTTATGCAAACTATATCTTTCTAGTTTTAAAACCAGCCATCAACTGATCTGGAATTTAATGTCATTTACACTTGCTTTCCCCTTGTTTTGTATCACAAGGCTCAATAAAATTCTGAAGGAACTATCTAGCTTTCCCATAAATGATCCTGGGACTTAAAGCCACACTGTTTTGGTCTGGTTTTCTAGCCACAAACTGTGAAGAGAATGTCATATATCCTCTATTGCATAGTACAGCTTTCTGGTCAAAGAGAATGAAACTGAAATCTGAAACACAACAGGATGGATGAAGATTGAAATTTCTGATAATGTAGTTAAAAACTACATGATACAAAAACCATAGCTGGGAAAATGATGGTTGTCTAGGAACGCTAGACAGTTCCTAGGAATTGTCTAGGAATCCGCCTGCAATGCAGGAGACCCTGGTTTGAGTCCTGGGTCAGGAAGATCCCCTGGAGAAGGGATAGCCTACCCACTCCAGAATTCCTGGGCTTCTCTTGTGGCTCAGCTGGTAAAGAATCTGCCTTCATTGCGGGAGACCTGGTTTCAATCCCTGGGTTGGGAAGAAATCTTAGGGCTTCCCTTATGGCTCAGCTAGTAAAGAATCCGCCTGCAATGCGGGAGACCTGGTTCGATCTCTGGGTTAGGGAGATCTCCTAGAAAAGGGAAAGACTACCCACTCCAGTATTCTGGCCTGGAGAATTCCATGAACTGTACAGTCTATCGGGTTGCAAAGAGTTGGACACGACTGACTTTCACACTTTCAGGAATATATAAGAATATAAATATTTTCCCACATTCTTAGAAGATTATGTCCATTGATTTTTTAACTTAGGATAACTTCCTAGAAGTAAAATTGCTATGTAAAAGCATGTGGACTTTATTTTTTTTTTGTGGCTGATGGTTCTTTGTTGTGGTGGGACCCTTCTCTCATTGTGGCATGCAGGCCCTCTAGTTGTGGCGCATGGGCTTAGTTGCCCTGTGGCATGTGGGATCTCAGTTCCCTGACAAGGGATTGAACCCATGTCCCCTGCACTGAAAGGTAGATTCTCAATCACTGAACCACTAGGGAAGTTCTCTAAAAGGGTATGAACTTTAAAGGTTTTATATCGATTGTGCCAAAAGAGTCTCCAGAGTTGTATTCCTCTTCCCACAGTGCAGAAACTATTTCTCAGAATTGCCTCTCCATACTTTCTAGATGAATGATGTTCCTGGACAGATGTGGGGTTGTTGTTTCCATGTGCTTATGACAATACTGGGAATTACAATGAAAATAACAGCACACACACACAGAAAAAATCCTTACTGAATTATTTAGAATTCTCTGATTATTAGTACTATTAATATTTTCCATATGTTTAGAGGTTATTTTGGCACATTCTATTTTGGGGGGGATTGCTTTGCCTTTTGTCATTTTCAATAAGCGCATTCAAATTGTTTAGATTTGTAGAGAGCTTTTAAAAAAATGTGGGTGTTTATCTTCATTATGCACATTATAACTTATTTCTCTGTTTTTCAACTTACTTTCTATTTAACTTTTTATTATAGAAAATTCCAAATATAAACAACTGGAGAAAGAATAAGTATGTGCTGGGCTTAGTTGCTCAGTCGTGTCCGACTCTTTTGTGATCCCGTGGACTGTAGGCCACCAGGCTCCTCCTCCATGGGGATTCTCCAGTCCAGAATCTGGAGTGGGTTGCCATGCCCTCCTCCAGGGGATCTTCCCAACCCAGGGACCAAACCCAAGTCTCCCACACTGCAGGCAGATTCTTTACTGCCTGAGTCACGAGGGAAGCCACGAGGGAAGAACAGGTATAGTGAGCCCAATAAGCCCATCTTCGAGTTTTAACAATAATCAAATAATCCTGATACCTTTATTTATTTAATTGGAGGATAATTACTTTACAATATTGTGATGGTTTTTGCCATACATCAATATGAATTTGCCATGGGTATACATGTGTCCCCTCCGTCCTGAACTCCCTACCCACTCCCCCCCCAACCCATCCCATCCTTCCAGGTTATCACAGGGTACCCTGTGTCATACATTAAATTCGCATTGTTTATCTATTTTACATATGGTAATATACATTTTTCAACGCTATTTTCTCAAATCATCCCACCCTCTCCTTCTCTCACTAAGTCTAGAAGTCTGTCTTTTATGTTTGTGTCTCCTTTGCTGTCCTACCCATAGGATTATCAGTACCATCTTTCTAGATTCCATATATATGTGTTAATATACAATATTTGTCTTTCTCTTTCTGACTTAACTTCACTCTGTATAATAGGCTCTAGGCTGATCCACCTCATTAGAAATGACTCAAATGCAATCCTTTTTATAGTCCTGATACCTTTCTGTTTGATGCTTTTTGGTTGACTGAAGTTTTTTATTTTTGTCAAATCTATTATCTTCTCTCACCTTTTTTTTTTTTTTTTTTGCATTAAAGTTCAGAAAGGACTCCCTTAACATCAGGTATAGCCATTTATCTTCCTAGTACAATATTTTATAGTTTTATTTTTTCACACTTAATTTTTTACTTTAGCTATAATTTACACTGGTATTTAAGTGAGAGGTGAGGATCTAACAGTCATTTTGTAAATAGTTAACCAGTATACTAATTTTTAAATGCTGGATTCTCCTGGATTTCTAGCCTGTTAAATTAATTTGTTATTAGGTAACACAATTTAAATTATTTTGCTATAAAATAAATTTTATTAACTTTTAAAAATGATAAAATGAGGATCAATTTCTATACAACTTACCTGGCTGCACTTTTTAACAATATCTGGGCCAGGTATGGCATTGAGAAGAGCTATAATAAGGTAACGATTCAGTAGCTTCTCTAGTCCTAGCTCTTGCAAGATGTCTTCTGGGAGAAGTTCATTCCAAAGAAGAATATTGCTGAAGAGCTAAAATACAACAAAATTTCAAGTGGCTCTGTACCTTTTCTCCAAAGGAAAACTGTAATAGTCTCCAACAAACAAAAAGCTGGTCAAACTGTAAAACTCTCACCACAATTAGTACTGTTGGAACCATCAATTTCAGAATAGAAAACATTTTTGAATAAATACTCAATTCTTCTCAACCTGCATATATTTCTTCATTCTATCTTCATTTTTTTTTTTTTTAGGATAACCACTCAAAATCTATTTCAAATTACCTTGCTGGAACTTTTCCAGATCAACAATCCTCCTTCTCAATCCATTCTCTCTTGGAGGCTGGGGCCATTGGATATAAGACTGCAGAACCCCAGGATTCATAAAAGCACTGATGTTAAAGCCAGTGCTACTGTTACCAATATGTGACCTTGAGAAATCAATCAAACCTGAGAACCTCACTCCTCTAATATAGAAAATAAGATTAATAATAACCTGTGGGTTTGGAGATGTTTTGGGTAAAATCCTTTTAAGAAATTCTAATAAAATTCTAATCAAAATAATACGGGTTGCATTTCTCTCTTCTAAATGCAGACCTTTATGTGAATTTTATGGTAGCTTCCATTTTCTTTCCATTACTAAATTTATTACATAAGTGCTAAACTACATCCAGTTGTACTAACATGCAATGGTTTTTCACAATGTCATTGTTGATGTTGCTCCCTCTTCCTGAAAAGCCTTTTTCCTGACCCAACCACATGACAAGTATTGACTCACCCTATCAAAACTATTCCTGCTGAAGTCATTCATGACCTTATAACTATGAAACCCAGCAAACATTTTCAAGACTGAAAATTCTTCTAATTCTCTTCAGTGGCATTAATACTTTGCTCTCAAAAGTCCTTCACTTAGTTTCCCTGATACCACTCTCTTGTGACCATTCTTAGTTTAACAGCTTATTCTTAAGGCCTGTCTGAAGACTTCACTTTGTCTGCCCACTGCTTCTTCTCTTCAGAGGTTGTCATTCATCACCATGCCTCCAAACACTGCCTAAATGTGATTGACTCCCAAATCTCCAGCTCAGATCTGTCTCCTGTAATTTAGACTCACGGATTCAAGTGCCTCCCTTTATCCCATAGGTATCTTACATCCACTATGTCCACTTATCTCTCCTCCCAAACCTTTTCTTCCTTCTCTAATGCCCTCAAAGAATGCCACCATAAGTTAACAGGGTGCCAAAGTCAGAAACTTGGCTAGCAGCCTACACTCTTCAGGGTAGAATTAATTCTGTAATCAGTCATTGGGTTCTTTCAATGCTTCATCCTAAAGATCTTTTGAACCAATCTTTTCCTTACTGTCCCCATTGCCATTGATTCAGCACCAATTTCATCCTTTACTGTTTATAGACCAGAGGTTAGACAACTATGGCCTGTGAGTTAAATCCAGCTCATGGTCTGTTTTTGTAGAGTTGGTGCACTGAGGATGGTTTTTATAATTTTAAATGATTAAAAAAAGAGTATTTTAAGACATGAAAATTATATGACAGTCAAACTTCAGTGTCCATAAAGTAAAGTTTTACTGAAACACAGAAATGCTCATTTATTTACATATTGTCTATGACTGCACTACAGTGACAGAGCTGAACAGTTCAACAGACATTATACGACTTACAAAACCTAAAATACTACTGTCTGGTCCTTTATAGAAGAATTTTTCTGATCTTCACTATACAGTAAACTTTTATTCAAAGAAAATATTTTTTTATTTTTGCAGTTTTCTGCTTACCTTTAGACCTGACCAGAACTGTCTTTCTTGAAACTTTGAATGTGGTGATGTTCTGTTTTCTACAGCACTAATTTAAATCAAAAGAAAGAAAATGCAAATGACTGTTCATCTTTCAGAAACAGAGTTTAAAGAACTGAATGGTTACTTTTTTTTTTAATCAACCAAACTGTGTCTTAACAATATAATTGAAGGTGCTCTGGTGATATCTAATAAAATTACTAATGTATGTACACTCTCCCAACAAATCCATGTTTGAGAATGCCTTCTATAGATATATTTGCACATGTACAGGATAATATGTTCATAAAATTATTCACAACATTGTTAGTAATGGTTTACTGCTTACATATTCATCAATTACAATACAGCCATAAAATGGCATATTGTGCAGCTAAAAAAGCATGAGGAAATAATTTGTGGATGACACAAAAAGATCTCAAAGATGTACTAAGTTAAAGTAAGGTACAAAACAATGGTTATGACAACAATATACTTATTTTGCTATAAAAAAGAAGGGGAAATAAGATTAATTCTAATTGCACTGTAAGTATTAAAATTCTATCTAAAGTATTTAATTCTAATTTCAGAAATTCCAAAAAGGTAAAAAAAAATTACCAACAATGAGTATTCTTGCATGTGTACAGAAAAGAAGGCAAAAACTGGGTAGATGGAGGTCAGGAGCAGGAGAGAATAAGACTTTTCATTTTAAACATACGTAAAAATTTTAAATACGCATACTTTTTAACTGTGCAGATATATTACTCACCTAAAACACTGAAAGTGAAAGTGAAAGTCGCTCAGTCATGTCTGACTCTTTGCAGCCCCATGGACTATTCAGTCCATTGAATTATCTAGGCCAGAATACTGGAGTGGGTAGCCTTTCCCTTCTCCAGGGGATCTTCCCAACCCAGGGAATCAAACCCAGGTCTCCCACATTGCAGACGGGTTCTTTACCAACTGAGCCATCAGGGCTTCCCTGAAGGCTCTAAAACATTACAAATCTTAATTGTTGTTGTTGTTTAGTTGCTAAATCATGTCTGACTCTTTTGTGACTCCATGGAAGGTAGTCTGCCAGGTTCCTCTGTCCATGGGATTTCCCAGGCAAGAATACTGGAGTGGATTACAATTTCCTCCTCCAGGGAATCTTCCCGACCTAGGGATTAAACCTGCATCTCCTGCATTAGCAGGTGGTTTCTTTACCACTGAGCAATCTGGGAAGTCAACAAACTTTAATTGGGGTGAAATTTTACATGCAGGCATCTCTTCAGGATTCCAATTAACTAGCAAGCTTAGAAGTTCTTTTCTTCTTTCCACAGAACTCTTTGATCACGTGAGTATTCACTGCAGCGTGAGCTTCAGTCCACAATCCATTACTACAGCTGATGCTTTCTTAGCAAACCTACCAATACGCATCCAGTACTACTTGTCTGATCATTTAAAAGTAAATATATATTGCAAAGATGTAGATTCTGGCCCCTCAGTGATGTTCCAGGCCTTATTTTGAGCTCTCTGTGTCAGGTATTACTCTGAGCACTCTCTTCATCTTCACAGTGTCCTATGAGATAGGCGTTAATTTAATACCCATTTTATATACAAAGACACTGAGGCAGGGAAAGGCCCAAGGTCAAGTGTCTAGTAACGGTGAATCTGCACTCCAGAAGCTGTGTTTCTAACCGCCTGGCTATGCCACTTGTCATGTTCTCAGGAATATCATCACATCACACATGGCATATAAAAGGTGATTAAGAAATATTTGTTGAAATATCAATTTGCGTGCTCGCTTCGGCAGCACATATACTGAAATATCAATTTGCATCTTAATGGGTATATGTGTTTTGAAAACAATATGTTTAGTTTCTTCTCTATTACACTCTGAAATGAATCTGTATTGCAGGAGTAACTATTTCATAAAATCTAGAAATTAGCAACTCTTACCTCTTTGGATACAGAGGAATAAAAACATCATCTTCTATTGCCTTCTTCATTCTTGAAACAATGGATTTAAGTAAATCCTATTTTTAAAAAATGTAAAAACATCACTGATAGTCATAGACAAAAATGTATGAACCAAAAAAAAAAAAAAAGAAAAAGAAATGTATGAATCAAAAGAAGCAATTTTAATAGAATAGTGCAAATTTGTACACACTCAAAGACCTAGGTGTTAAAGTAATTGTAAATTAGGTACAAGAGAACTTCATTCATCCAAGTGGTTGCATACTGCAGTAGCTGATGCCTTTTCATTGCAGTGTAGTATTCTGTTGCATGATAGACCATTTATTTAGATGGTCTTTGGTTTAGGGGTTATTATGAATCATGTTACTATATAAATTCCTGTACAGCATGTCTTTTAGTATGCATGGGCATATATTTCTAATGGGTATATATGCAGAGATGGAATTGCTAGAATCCAGTTCATGTCAACTTTGGACAGAATGCCAAGTTGTTTTCTGAAACAGGGGTATCCCATTTATAGTCCCACTAGTCAGTATGAGAAATCCTGTTCCCCGACATCTTTACTAAGTCGTATTTTTAGGGTTTTTAAAAGCTTGCAATTCTGGTGAGTATGTCAGTTAGTCAGTTCAGTCGCTCAGTTGTGTCTGACTCTTTGCAACCCCATTGACTGCAGCAGGCCAGGACCTGTGTCCATCACCAATCCCCAGAGTTTACTCAAACTCATGTCTATTGAGTTGGTGATCCCATCCAACCATCTCATCCTCTGTCGTCCCCATCTCTCCCACCTTCAATCTTTCCCAGCATCAGGGTCTTTTCCTATGAGTCAGTTCTTCACATCAGGTGGCTAAAGTATTGGGACTTTCAGCTTCAGCATCAGTCCTTCCAATGAATATTCAGGACTGATTTCCTTTAGGATGGACTGGCTGGATCTCCCTGTAGTCCAAGAGACTCTCAAGAGTCTTCTCTGACACCACAGTTCAAAAGCATCAATTTTTCAGTGCTCAGCTTTCTGTATAGTCCAACTCTTACATCCATACATAACTACTGGAAAAACTATAGCTATGACTAGACGGACCTTTGTTGGCAACGTAATGTCTGATTTTTAATATGCTGTCTAGGTTGGTCATAACTTTTCTTCCAAGGAGCAAGCATCTTTTAATTTAATGGCTGCGGTCACCATCTGTAGTGATTTTGGAGCCCCCCAAAATAAAGTCTGTCATTGTTTTCACTGTTTCCCCATCTATTTGCCATGCAGTGATGGGACCAATGCCATGAGCTTAGTTTTCCGAATGCTGAGCTTTAACCAAGCTATTTCACTCTCCTTTTTCACTTTCATGAAGAGGCTCTTTAGTACTTTGCTTTCTGCCATAGGGTGATGTCATCTGCATATCTGAGGTTATTGATATTTCTCCCACAATCTTGATTCCAGCTTGTGCTCCACCCAGCCCAGCATTTCTCATGATGTACTCTGCATATAAGTTAAATGAGCAGGGTGACAATATACAGCCCTGGCATACTCCTTTCCCAATTTGGAACCAGTCTGTTGTTCCATGTCCAGTTCTAACTGTTGCTTCCTGACCTGCATACAGGTTTCTCAAGAGGCAGGTCAGGTGGTCTGGTATTCCCATCTCTTTCAGAATTTTCTAGAGTTTATCGTGATTCACAGAGTCAAAGGCTTTGGCATAGTCAATAAAGCAGAAATAGATGTTTTTCTGGAACTCTCTTGCTTTTTTGATGATCCAGCAGATGTTGGCAATTTGATCTCTGTTTCCTCTGCCTTTTCTAAAGCCAGCTTGAACATCTGGAAGTTCTCAGTTCACGTACTGTTGAAGCTTGGCTTGGAGAATTTTGAGCATTACTTTGCTAGCGTATGAGATGAGGACAATTGTGCGTTAGTTTGAGCATTCTTTGGCATTGCCTTTCTTTGGGATTGGAATGAAAATGGACCTTTTCCAGTCCTGAGGCCACTGCTGAGTTTTCCAAATTTGTTGGCATATTGAGTGCAGCACTTTCACAGCATCAACTTTTAAGTATTTGAAACAGCTCAACTGGAATTCCATCACCTCCACTAGCTTTGTTCACAGTGATGCTTCCTAAGGCCCACTTGACTTCACATTCCAGGGTGTGTCTGGCTCTAGGTGAGTGATCACAGCATTGTGATTATCTGGGTCATGAAGATCTTTTTTGTACAGTTCTTCTATGTATTCTTGCCACCTCTTCTTAACATCTTCTGCTTCTATTAGGTCCATACCATTTCTGTCCTTTATTGAGCCCATCTTTGCATGAAATGTTCCCTTGCTATCTCTAATTTTCTTGAAGTGATTTCTAGTCTTTCCCATTCTATTGTTTTCCTCTTTTTCTTTGCACTGATAACTGAGGAAGGCTTTCTTATCTCTCCTTGCTATTCTTTGGAACTCTGCATTCAAATAGGTATATCTTTCCTTTTCTCCTTTGCTTTTTAATTCTCTTCTTTTCACAGCTATATGTAAGGCCTCCTCAGACAAACATTTTTCTTTTTTCATTTCTTTTTCTTGGGGATGGTCTTGATTCCTGTCTCCTGTACAATGTCACGAACCTCTGTCCATAGTTCTTTAGGCATCTGTCTATTAGATATAGCCCCTTGAATCTATTTCTCACTTCCACTGTATAATCGTAAGGGATTTGATTTAGGTCATACTTGAATGGTCTGGTGGTTTTCCTTACTTTCTTCAATTTAAGTCTGAATTTGGCAATAAGGAATTCATGATCTAAGGCACAGTCAGCTCCCAGTCTTGTTTCTGCTGACTGTATAGGGCTACTCCATCTTTGGATGAAAAAATATAATCAATCTGATTTCGGTATTGACCACCTGGTGATTTCCATGTGTAGAGTCTTCTCTTGTGTTGTTGGAAGAGGGTGTTTGCTATGACCAGTGCGTTCTCTTGGCAGAACTCTATTAGCCTTTGCCCTGCTTCATTCTGTACTCCAAGGTCAAATTTGCCTGTTACTCCAGGGGTTTCTTGACTTCCTACTTTTGCATTCCAGTCTCCTATAATGAAAAGGACATCTTTTTTGGATGCTAGTTCTAGAAGGTCTTGTAGGTCTTCATAGAACTGTTCTACTTCAGCTTCTTCAGCACTACTGGTTGGGGCATAGGCTTGGATTACCATGATATTGAATGGTTTGTCTTGGAAACGAACAGAGATCATTCTGTCATTTTTGAGACTGCATCCAAGTAGTGTTTCGGATTCTTTTGTTGACTATGATGGCTACTCCATTTCTTCTAAGGGATTCTTGCCCACAGTAGTAGATATAATAATCATCTGAGTTAAATTCACCCATTCCAGTCCATTTTAGTTCGCTGATTCCTAAAATGTTGACATTCACTCTTGCCATCTTCTGTTTGACCACTTCCAATTTGCCTTGATTCATGGATTCATTAGATTTCAGTTAACAATGAGAAACAAACTTCTCTCCTACACCTTCCACAGATTGTTCATAGTATACCTCTCAAGATCATGCAGAACAAATCTAATCATCCTTCCATATGAAAACTCTTCAGATTTTAAGATTGATATCTCACTTTTCTATATTTTCTCTTTCCCATACCACCTTAGACACTCTCCATTTAATATACTTTAACCTAAAATTAAATGCAAATAGCTCAGGGAAATGAGGAAAGCACATATAACAATTTTACTCAAAAGACCAGACATCTAGAAGGATGAACTTCCATTAGTCTTTCTGCTACTCAAGTGACACTGTTGACTCATACTGAGTTTATGGACGATTACAATCCCTCTCCATTTTACCTGTGTTGCTTTAAAGTTGTGCCTCTCCCATCTTTTATTTATGCATAAAATACATATTCTTTTCACATTTTATATTTTGAGAGTCAGTCCTTTTCTCAGTATTTTGAAATTCTTTTGGATTCTAATTCTGTTATCCATAGATTTATGATAGAATTCCTAGCTTTCTGCCATTGAGAAATTTCATTAGCATGTATTTTACATACTCATCCAATTCAATAAAAATACCGAACAGGACAAAGCTGAAAGGATTCCAGCCTTATGAATCAGTATTCTTTAGGTATACTTTTACTGGTTTTCTTTGTATCTAACTATACCCTATTTTCCCCCCATTTGATCTGTAAGAAAATCATAACATATTTAAATAATTATTTACTGTACCTGTACAGTACCTTACTTAGTGGAAGTAACTGAGATATTAGTAATATGGAAGAATATGCTTTGACATATATTTGGTTTTAGGAACCCCATCAATGAGAGATTACAGTAACCACTGCTTTCTTATTTTAAGTGTTCATAATCCATCTCTGTAATAATCTATTTTAGAACCTTAGAATTAAAAGTATTCTCACCAGGCATTAGCTTACAGAATCACTTACTTTTCACTGAAAATCAGCCACTGTGCTGTCTGATTTGTGCCTCTGGGGCCTTTCTCATTCTGTTCAATTCTTTAAACATCACTAAGAAAAACAGAGTGAGCTCACCAGCAAACTGTGTTACTAACCTGGAATCTTACCTAGTACACTGATTCTCAAATAGGAGTAACTTTGCCATGCCTCAGAATATTCTCTAAGTCTAGAGATATTTTTGGTTGTCAAGACTGGGAGCTTACTGCACAGAACAGTCTCACACAAAGAAATATTTGTTCCAAATGCCAAGAACGCCAAAGCTGAAAAGTCCTGATGTAGTTCTGATCTCCTACTAAAGCCAAAAACTCATTTCCAACATTCATAGTAGGAGGGTTTTCAGAATTAAGATTACCAGTATAAAAACTTCATGAGTGAATCCATAAACTGTTGAAAGACTTTAGTGGTTACAAAATGCCAGGCCTGCCACTGTTAAAAGTGATCTTTTAAAGTGACTTGGCCCTCTAGGCCCCAGCTTCCTCACCTGTAAAAATGTAATTAAAATCAACATGTTTTACAAGGTTTTGAGGATCAAATGAGAAAGTGTTTAAAAAACTGTAACTGTAAATGCGCTATTTACATTTAGGCTATAATTACATAATCCCATGTAGACAGCAAATACAGGATTATATAGCTGTTTGCTTGTTTGCTTGCTCTAACATACTCGTCTTGGTTCTATGCTTTGTAACAACACAAAATAAATTTACTCCTTCATCAAACATAATCTCCAAGCACATCATCTTTAAAGTTGAATCTAATTCTTGCATGATTTTCACATGTTTTTATCCTGTTGGAGGTGAATGGAAAATGCCCTTTCTCCTTCAGTTGCTACAATGCTCAAATCCTATTCTTTCCTTTTAGGTCCTTGCTCAAATGCCACATGTAATAAAAATTCTTTCACTGCTGAAATTTCTCTCTCCTGCCTCTCTTCTTAAGTTTGATAGCACTTTATCTGAGCCACTCATGGAGAGGCAATGTGGTCAGTGAGATGAGCTTGGGTTTTAAAGTAAGACTGAGTGCATGTGTGCTCAGCTGCTTCAGTCGTGTCTGCCACTTTGCAACCTGTGGACAGTAGCCTGCCAGTCTCCTCTGCCCATGGGATTCTCTGGGCAAGAATACTGGAGTGGGTTGCCACACCCTCCTCCGGGGGATCTTCCCGATCCTGGGATCCAATTTACGTCTCCTGTGTGTTCTGCATCACAGGCAGATTCTTTACCGCTGAGCCTCTGAGGATGCCCAAAGTAAGACTGACCAAGGTACAAATCTTAGTTCTAACTCAAGGTATTACTATGAACAGGTTTCTGCGATTCAGATTCTTCATCTGTAAGATGAAGCTATCATCTTTTTAAAAAAAATTGTTTATTTTTGGCTATTCTGGGTTTTTGCTTCCACTCAGGCCTTTCTCTAGTCGCAATGAGCACGGGCTACTCTCTAGTTGTGGTGCACGGGCGTCTCTCATTGCAGAGCACAGGTGCACAGGCTTCAGTAATTGCGGCTCTCGGGCTCGAGAGCACAGGCTCAACAGCTGTGGTACATGGGCTCAGTTGCTCCTCTGCCTGTCGGATCTTCCTGGACCAGGGATTGAACCCACGTCTCCTGCACTGGCAGGCGGATTCTATGCCACTGAGCTACCAGAGAAGCCCTAGCACCCATTTTTAACAGGACTGCTGAGACTAAGTGGGCTGACACAGGAATAAGGACTAACAGAGTACTGAGGACATAGCAGGAATTAGACAAGTAAATCTTGTCATTCCCACTTACTTCCTACTTCAAGTAACAGTTTATATGTATCTTGTTTCCTCTAAGATTACGTGATTCTTGATGGCAGAATCATGCTGGTATCCTCTTCTCTCCTTTTCTTCTTACAGCTTCCCTCCTTCATTACTTAAAACTTATTGGTGCACAGAATATGAATATGACATGTCTCCTTGCTTTTCAACTACTTTGATTATTCCCCTCTGGATATCCTCCAGTCTGTGAATCTCTCTCTTAATTCTCTTAAAACTCAACATAAAATTGTCTTACTCTTTTAACTGCATCAATCTACAATATTATCAACAAACAAAATGATTTTAAAAAAGAGTACTGTAATAAAAGATTCAAGAAACTCTCACCACAGCCTCTGAAAAGTTCCTTCCTCTTTATGTCTTATGTTCAGTAAAACTCAATTCTACATTAAGCTGAGAATCTATCCTTTTTTAAACTTTGAATCCTCAAAGAGCTACCTGTTCTTGACTATGCCCATTACAGAATACCAGTTAAAATACTGAATGTTAGTCTAGTTTTAAAATTATTGTTAAAGTAAGGTCATAATATTACTAGATTTTTGCCAAAAGAACAAATGTAATTAGTTTTCTTTTCTTTTAGAAGGAATCAATTTGCACTAATGTATTTATGCCTGTTCATCTCTGCAGGGCCAATGTACATTCACAAACCTGAAAAACAGGTAGTTGGGCCATGAGATCTGTTGAACAAATCAAACCATTGAACAGAGAGAAATACGCTAATAAGAATGAAAGTAATAATCTGGGTCTTACTGCATGTTTGTGTATTCTATTATAATGATTACCATTCCTATAAGAATGTTTGGAAATATCACAGTGTATCCTTTAATCTTCTTAATTATAAAGAGCAAAAAATGGTCAGTCCTAAATATTTTTCATCAATAGTGTTCTGATAATTACTTCTGCATCATCTGTAAACAAAGATTTATAATAAATTATATTGATTTAAAAGTAAATCAAGAAATTCATAATTCTAGACATTATTACCTGTTTGCCTTTATTAACTTCATTTTCACAAGTGGAATGTTCTTCAAGAATCATTCTGCACTGTGTTACTAAACTTGCTGTCTGTGTGGTTGACAAGGGATCCCAAATGAATTCTACAAAGCCTGAAACAAACATTTTCAGTGGTGTAGTTTAGTTACTAGACTACTTTGCTTGTCACATATAAACAATTGAGGCCTTTTGCAAATGCTAATTCCCTCCTTAAGTGGTTTAAAAAAATTAATGCCAATCAGTACATTATGTATTTGCATACATACTCAATTTTCTTATCTTTTTTGGGTTTTGCTGAACTTGTATGGCTCAGCTGCAACTCTAGTTAAATTACCTTGTCAGTGTTGGTGGCCGCAACCATGCAGTTAAAACATGACTGGAAAAAAGTACACTTTAAATTGATCACCATGGCACTCCAGTGAGACCAAAACGCTGCCCAGCAATCACATTTCATTTCTCTGGCCCATTCTCTTTCCCTTCTTGTGAGACAATTATTTCCTGCCTTCTCCTTCCTCCTTGCTCTCAGTTAATGGACTTTACTCTTCCAGATGACGATTTCTTATGATTTCTTTTTTCCACCCTTGCTCTCACTGTCAGTTGATTACTTCCCAACTTGATGAGAAAAACAGAATTAATCAGAAAAGCTCCACAAGCTCCTACCATAGCATCTACAAATCTAGCAGCATCTGCACCCATAAATTCTAACTTGTCTCCCATTTCTATGGATGAAGCACTAGCCTCCTTGCTAATGCCAAGCTTTAATTTGTACAAAAGAGTCCAACCCCTTCGGCTTACTTGAAGATTCTGCTCCTGGAATTCTACCCTCTCACTTCAGCATCACCATCACTTTTACTGGGTCTTGTCCATCACTCTACAATTTTTTTTCTTGTATTAAAAATAATCCCTCTGTTGACTCTACTTTCCTCTCTAGAGCTGCCCTATTTCTTTCCTTCATTTTAGAGCAAAATTACTCAACAATTGTTGAAACTTTCTATCTCCAATTTCTTTCCTCAAACTCCTGAGTTCACTTCAGTTAGGCTTTACTTCCAGCAGTTCTCCTAAACTACTCCTATCAAGTAACAGATAACTTTCACATTGCAAAATCTAATGGCTGATTCTAGTCTCCATCTGATTTAACAGCAACTACATTTTTTTTTTTAACTTGGCTTCCAGGATACTGCTGGTTTCCCACAGACCTCTCTTGTCTCCTTTACTGTCTGCTTGTCATCCTGCTGACCTTCTAAATGCTGGACCTCAGGACTCAGGTCACTTACCTTCTCTTTTCCTATTTATATTTATACCCTTAGTATGTCAAGTCAGTTTTGTGGCTTTAAATGCCGTCTATGTGCTGATACACTCCAAATTTATATCTCCTCCATGGATCTGTCCTTTAGACTCATATATTTAACAGCCCAGTCGACAGCTCTATTTGGATGACAGGCATCTCAAACCCAACAGGTGTCAAACTGAGCTCGTGCTATACCTCCTCCCCAAAACTTGCTCCCCTCAGTCTTTTCCATTTGAGAAAATGGCAACTCTGTGCTTCCAGCTGCTCAGGCCAAAAACCACTTAGTCATTCTTGATTCCTCTCTTTCTCTCTTGTTCCACAATCCATATCAAATTCTGTTAGTGTTAGTACTTTTGAAATATACACAGAATTTGACCACTTTCCAGCCACCTCCATTTTTAACACTCAAGTCAAACCACCATTGCTTAGATTACTGAAAAAGCTTCATAACTGATCTGCATATAGTTCATTCTTAACACAGGAAACAGAATAAGTCTGTTAAAATGATAAGGCAGATCTTGTCACTTCTCTGCTCAAAACTCTCCAACTGCTTCTCACTCACTCACAGTAAAAGTCCTTACAAATGATTATAAGGCCCCATATGACACAGCCACGGTCATCCTGCTAACCTCTTCTTACTGTCCCTATTGCTCACTCTACTAAAGTTACTCTGGCCTATCTGCTGTTTTTCAAGTAAATCAGGCTAGCCCCTGCCTCAGGGCCTTTGCATGTGCTGTTTCTGCTGCCTAAGATGGTGTCACCTCAGACATTCATTTGGCCCACTTCTTTACTTCCTTTTGGAAATCTGCTCATTTGTGACCTTTCCAGGAAGCCCTTCCCCGGCCAAAGTATTTTAAATTGCACTCCTCTTTCATAATTTGTATCTCTCCCCCATACTTTATTTTTCTCCTCGGCCCTTGTAACTAACACACTATAGATTTTACTTGTTCATCGTTTGTCTCCTTCACAGAATGAAAGCTCCATAACATCAGGGATTATTATTTTGTTTACTGATGTATATGCTGAAGTTAAAAACTGTGCTTGACTCTTTTAAATACAAGTTAAATAATTTTTAAAAAATTTAAATAGGTTAAAAAAACACCCCAAATCAAATATAAAACTGATTTCTCAGACATCTAGAAGGTTAGGCTTGCAATAATCTTAGAAATATTTGGCCAACTAATACTGAGAATCTACTATGTGCCTAGCATTAACTATTAGAAATACAGCAATAAGTAAGATTAGGTTTGCCTCAGAACAATTTTGTTTACTGTCAAATACAAATATATTATATATATATATATGTATAGTTGCTTAGGTAAGTAATTATAACATGTAGGTACCATCCTAAAGATTAGTTTAGAGTACTTCAGGAACCCTGAAAAGGTGTGCCTAACCCAGTTCCTAGAAATGATGTCTACAGAGTGTTCTGAAAGATGAAGAGGAGTTAGTTAGCTAGATGAAAGAGGTATAGGGTTAAGGGATTTGTCAGGTGGATGGAGTGTAGAAGATGTAAAGGCCAAGGAGGAGATAGCTTCAGACCAGTAGAGGTGGAGATGAGGGGAAGAAGGAGCTGAGCTTGGCAAAAGATGAGGCTAGAGAACTACTAAACAGAGACAAAATCCTGGAAGTCCTAGAACACATGCTAAAGAGGTTAGACTTCAACCTAAAGGCAGTTTAGAATAAAGTGTTTTAAGTGAGGTATGACAGAATCAGACTTACATTTTAGACAGATCACCACGGTTAAAGTATAGAAAATGGGTTAGAAAAAGGAAAAAAGTAATGGATGTGGCATTTGCTTATATAAAGAGGTAAGAAAAAAGCAGGAGTAGATGACTTGGAGGTTCTGGTTTGAACATGTGGGTAGGTGGAGGTACCATTTTCTAGACAAGGAATATAAGAGGAACAAGTCTGCAGCAAAGATGACAAGTGTGATTTTGCATTTGGAATTTGAGTTGCCAAGTAGATATATTCAGAAATTACTCTGATAAGAGATCTAGTGCTCTAAGAAGAGATCTGGCTTTCAGTTCTTTTTGATTGAAAATCAAGCAGAAAAGCACTGTCCAAAAGAACTTTCTGTGATGAAAGGAAAAAACATCTGACATCTGCACTATTTAATGTGACAGTCATGAGTGATATATGGCTATTGAAGAACACAGATATAGATGGCACTAGAAGAGAGTATGCAATTACCCAGGGAGCTCAAAAAGAGCTATTGTAAAGTAAAGTATTTGGAATTTTCAGATGAATACTTAAGTGAAGCATATATATTCTATGCTATCATTAATAATGCTTAATAGCTAAAACTAAATGGTTAAAAGCACTATTTTTCCAAGATACTCCATGAGTGCACTGTAAATTATTCTGAGGAAAATCTTTAAAGTTTAGTCAAGTTGGCTGAGAAGCAATATAAAGCAGGTTGCTTTAGTTTTTAAGAGTTTTCAGACTTTGCAGTCAGAATCCATTTTCAGTGACATGGTGGCACAGATCCATTATACTTATATACATTATACTTATATACTTATCAAGTATAATTTCAGGTAAAACAAGTTCAGATAGAGGCACAAGCATTAATGCCCAAAGGCTCTGAGTGCTAGTAGGAGAAGTAAGGGGAATGTAGTAATATTTATCTAAAGAAAGAAGAAACTCACCATACACAAAAATAAATTCAAAAGGGATTACAGACCTAAATGTAAGACCGGACACTAAAAAAACTTACAGAAGAAAACACACACATGACACTCTTTGATATAAATTGCAGCAAGACCTTTCATTGCTCCTAGAGCAATGAAAATAAAAACAAAAATTAACAAATGGGATTTAATTTAACTTAAAAGATTTTGCACAGCAAAGGACCATAAGCAAAACAAGAAGATAACCCTCAGAATGAGAAAATATTGCAAACAAAGCAACTAACAAGGGGCTCAATCTCCAGAATATACGAACAGCTCACGCAGCTCAACATCAAACAATAAGTAGCCCAGAAGGCAGAGGATCTAAACAGACATCTCCCCGAAGAAGACACACAGATGGCCACATGGCACATGAAAAGATGACCAACATCAGAAATGCACATCAAACTACAATGAAGCCTCATCTCACACAGGTCAGAACGGCCACCATCAAAAAATTTACAAACAATAAATGCTGGAGAGGGTGTGGAGAAAAGGGAACCCTCCTACACTGTTGGTGGAAAAGTGAATTGCAACAGCCACTATGGAGAACAGTATGGAGCTTCCTTAAAAAGCTGAAAACAGAACTACTAAATAACCCAGCAATCTCAATCCTGGGCATATAACCCAGAGAAAACTGTAACTGGAAAAGATAACACTCACCCCAATGTCCACTGCAGCATTATTTACAATAGCCAGGACATGGAAACAAGCTAAATGTCCATCAACAGAGGCATGGATAAAGAAGATATGGTAATATTCCATTATATACCATGAAATATTATCACCCAGCCATAAAAAAGACCAAAAATACCATTTGCAGCAACATGGATGAACCTAGACTGTCATACTGAGTGAAGTAAGTCAGACAGAGAAAGACAAATATGTGATATGGTTTCTATGTGGAACCCAAAAATCAGGCTACAAACAAACGTATTTACAAAACAGAAGTAGAGTCATGGCTGTAGAAAACAAACTTATAGTTACCAGGGGATAAATGTGGGGAGGAATAAATTGGGAGATTTGGATTGACTAGACACACTACTATATATAAAACAGAAAACCAGTAAGAACCTGCAATACAGCACGGGAAAATCTACTCAAAACTCTGTAATGGCGTGTATGGGAAAGGGATCATTAAAAGATGGTGGATATATATATAACTGATTCACTTTGCTGTACACTTGAAACTAACACAACATTGTAAATCAAACATACACCAATAAAAATTTTTTTAAAAAGCAGAAATGTAAGGGGAGAAGTTAAGGGAAAGACATACACATAGTAGAAATCGAAGTGTGCCACTAATACATGACTTATAAAAGTAACTAATAAAAGTAATGCGAATGTCACAAATACTAATGGTCCAAGAGTATCAGGAGTTTGATAGCCAGTAACCTGCACAAACAAGCTGTTTTTAATCAGCTTAAATTATAAGTCTGTTGATTTTTACTGCATATTACAGCTGTGTTCAAAAACAAAAAAAATTTGTGACTGTAACAGGAATTATTTATCTTATACTTAGCTAAAGAACAATTTAATTTTATCAAGATTACAAAACAGTACCTGTAAGTCGAGGAATAACTGTTTTGTTGATGACAGTAGACAAGATTTTCTTATCAGAACTATCTTCCTTCTTTGAATCTTCCATACTGCAATCTATAAATTCTTTTATACTTGTGAACCATGGCATCTGTTTTAAACCTATGGAATCAAACTTATAAATAAAATTATCCAAGTTATAAATAAATTCTTAAACTTTATCTTTAAACAGTTAACTTTTTCAGTAATTACCAGAGCTTTTCTAAGGATCAAGGGAGAATAATTCCATATTTTAACCCAATGTATACAGTGGGTTACAGTTTATAGGGTCACAAAGAGCTGGACATGATTGAAGCAATAGCACTCATGCACATACAGTACTAGACCACCAAGGCTAGACAGGATGACATGACTAACACATGATGTCTAGACGGTGAGACAGGATATTACATTTCATGCATTTATTCATGTCCAGAAATGCCCCCTGTGTATTCAGGATGTACTAAGTGGCAGGTACTGTTAGGAACAAAATATACATTTATAACAATAGCAGTTAAAGTACCCATGGAATTTGCTTTTAAAGATATACTTACCTCATACAAAATTCACTCTGGCTCTCCCAAGTCTCCCTAGCACAAATGTATACTTTGCATGTGGCTTATCTTATTATTAACCAAACAGAAGATGGCCAATTACTATTTGTTGAATGACTGAATGAACAGATCTTTGCTATATGTGACAGAATACTCAATTCAGCTTGAGTGGTTAACAAATAGGCTGCCGTCCAACCAGCTACCTTAGGGATAAGCTTGGTTCCTAAACTAAGAACGCTGCATGGCCCTGAACCTAACAGAAAGTCTAAAGGCATGCATGACTAGGGCAGAGGAAGACCTGCCTTAGTCGAACAAAAGGGATTCACCCTTTGTTAAATCTTTATTTTCAGCTCTCCTCTCTTCCTAGAATTTCATTTTCTCAGTTCTGTTTGCTTAACCACATGGATGTCCCATCATCATTTCATTGTCTATAGTGTAAAACTTCCTTGAAAACCTTTTCCCTCTTTGAAAAGACACCATTTCTATGAACGGAACTACCATTGTCCTAATAACTTAGAATCCAAACCTTGGGGTCACCATTTTGATGTGTTGTGTTAGGGTTATTCGCAGTAGTTTATTGATTCTTCATAAAATCACTTGTAATCAACCATTCTTTCCTCTTTGCTTTGTCACTATCACCCTATGTGAGGAACTAATCTCCTTGGACTTGGGCTACAGCAACTGCCTTTCAGTATATCTTCATCTCTTTCTCTCTACCCTCCAAGTTAGCCTATTGCTCAGAGCTTCCTAAATCATTACCTTCATCATGTATCTCCTCCCATTACCTATCAAAACAAGTTCATATCTTTTGATTTACAATCTATGCAGTCTCTACAAAACTACTATTTCTCCCCATGTTCCTTTACAAAACACCTTTCCTTCCTCTCTCTCTTCCTGTTTAAATTCTATATACCCTTTAAATCCTCATTTAAATTCCTCATCTTCATTGTAGCTTTCCTAGTCAAGTATACCCATTATGTCATCTCCAACTTCAGAACTCTTGGTACCTATTTTGAATTTCACTCAGATTGCAAAATTCTTATGGTCTAATACTATCTTTATTTTTTTGAGTGATCTTCAACTTACCACGAAAGATTTTTTTAAAGTGTTTCCTTTACTGATGTGTTAGCCTTAAAACAGAGTGAGAACCAAGAAATGATAAATGTAGACTACTACTCCAAAGCATGATTATTAATTCCATCTCTAAAGGTGAGATATTTTATATTACAGTTAACCTGATAACAAGAGGATTTAAGTAACTAAATGAGATCAGGATTATTTTTTTCACGTTAAGCTCATATACCTTAAGAGGGTTCCAATCAATCAATTGAAATCGTATTAGGGGATTTAAAAGCTTCGGAATGCATAAACTAATGAAAGCTTCATAGTAAGAATCAGGAAACTTTTCTCGCCATTGTTGAAATTTCAATAAAATATTCTGGATATTACAAAAATCACTGTGCACATCTTCAAAAATCTTCTTATGATCCTGTAAAATGTCACCTGTGAAGAAAATGAGTCTTTGTATATTACGCATTTTACATTTGTGATCTTTAAGTTTGATTCCTATAAACATAGTTATGTATAACTTATGTAATCAACTGAGTTGAAAGTTATTCCTTGACATTAACATATAAACTAGTTTTTATTAAAAAAAAAAACACACCTTAGTAACAGCTGATACTAATAAAATCTACCATTTATTAAGCCCTTGCTATATGCCAAAACATTATAAACACATTATCTCATGTCATCATCATAACTATCTTCCCTAAAAGGTAAGTGTTTCTAGCCTATCAGTTTACAGACAAAGAAAAAGCAAACAACAATATCAGGTACAGTGAAGTCAAGTAATTCACTTAAAGTCACATAGAAAAGATTCCCTCTTTGAACTCATCTGTTTTGACTGTAAAGCCCACATTCTTTCAACTGTACATATTTTACCTTCTTACAATGCTAAAAATGGACTTTACTGTAAATTCAATTCAAATTCAAACTCCGGGAGATTGTGAAGGACAGGAAAGCCTGCCATGCTGCAGTCCATGGGATTGTGAAGAGCTGGACATGACTGAGCGAATGAACAACAAATAGGGACTTCTGTGGTGGTGCAGTGGCTAAGACTCCAAGCTTCCAATGCAGCAAGCCTAGGTTCAATCCCTAGTCAGGGAACTAGATCTTGCAAGCCACAACTAAGACCTGGCACGGCCAAATAAAAAATTTTTTTAAAAATTGAAAAAAATGATAATATAGAAAGCATGTAGCAGAGAAATGAAGCCAAAAATGTTCATTTATAACAGGAGATGAAAAAGTTTGAGGGGAAAAAACTACAAAGATGCAGGAATACTCATCCCACTTCTCCACTTTATCCAGTCTTTCAGAGGTACAGACAAGTCTAATAAGGAAAAAAAAGTATTATGTTTTCTGAATTTTCCCCACCATTTTGGATAGCTTAATTAAGGGCAATCATGGCAAAGATTTTCCATCATTTCAGTATTTCAAATTAAGCCACATCAGAAACTTGATAACTGACCTTGGCTTTTTTGGAAGTCAATCATGTCTGCTGAAGACAGTTCATCATCACTAGATGTTCCTTCTTCATGAGTACAATTCCCAGAAAGAATCCTTGCTTGTCTTCTTCGTGCCCTGTATTTTGCAATAAACCAAAAATAAAATATGAAAATAAATGCTTTAAAACAAAAAGTAAAAGTCATCATTACTTAACATGCCCAGAAATAAACAATCATACATTCACACAACTTTATGTTAATATTTTTGACATTTTAGCTTCATTAATCTGAACTGATTCTCCCTCTTATTCTTGTTAGACACTCCCATGATTTGGAAAAAGGAGTAGCAATGTATTTAGGACTAGCTTCCAGGTATGAGACAGTCCCAACCTGATAAATACCACTTTACACATTCCTTCTAACTGATCCAAATACACAAGTGTGTCTTTAAATCATGGGGTAGAGGACTGCTTAACTAAATTTTGGTTTTACACCATTCTCACAAATTAATATGCTAGGTTATAGTTATTTATACTATATGATTAACTATATTTAAACTATGAAAAATACTTGCTCAGTGATGCTTTAAGTCTTTAGTTACCTTCGAGATTCAACCTCTTCTAAAATCCATTGAGTTTTTTCATCTATAGCCAAGCTATTATTTATTGATGTCTCAGGTGTGCCTGTTAATGAATAAAATTGATTTTATACTGTAAATTCTAAAAAGAAATAAACAGTGAAACATTTTGAAAACAAAAGTTATATTTTAGGTATGTATACATATTTACATACATAAACATCCATACATAGACTATGCTTAAATTACATATTTCATTATGCAATGAAATTGCAATGTTAACTCTCTACCACAATATTAATAGGTATTGAGTTTGCTAATCTAAGAAAATGTACCTTGTCTGGCAAATATAGTTCAGCACTTGAGAACTGTAACAAAAATAAAGTTTCTTTCCCTTGTATTCTTTTTCAGCAGTTTTCACCATTTTCTTTTTTCTGTCCCTATGGTCAAATTCTAGAAACACATTACCAATATGTCAATCATATTATCTCCTATTTTAGCATATACTGTAATTTATGACCAACTAAATGTCATATATTTGAGTCATTTTGATTTTACTTTTATCATCTACTTGATGCTGTGGTCTCATTTCTTTCACTATACCCTGACAGCACCTTAATCAAAGGAAGACATCTCGGCAAATACAAAATCAGTGTGAGAATTAAAGGGCTGCATCCAATTCTTTATTAATATAATGAGATCTTATAGATGATTCTATACTGAAACCCACCAGAATTTCTTTAACTTCCACAATTAATCTATAGAAAATTTATAAAGTTGGACTTCTGACACAGTCTATATGTTTATGTCAAGTCATCTCAAAATAATCATTAAATGGTCATATATTTTCTTTCAAACACTAAGTGATTAGAAGTCATAATTTTTATTTTTTTAGATTTGGACTTAATTTAAGACATTTTGAAGCCGAGATTTTAAAATGGTTTGGGAATTTTAGAAGAGGGTAGGTGAAAGGTCAGTGGGAAAATACACAATAAACATTTTTTATACAGAAATAAAAATATTTTTAACTTTTAGCTACAATTTAGCTTAATGAACAAAAAATCACATTGAACATGAAAAACACTAACATGATAACTGTTGTAAATACGCTGATTCATGTTTTAATTCATCTTGCCTGCGTTTCATAAATTTCATGGCTTGTTTTAAAAGGAGTGCATGCATGGCTGATTCTATTTCTTGGATGTTGATAATCTGAAATACATACATAAGTAACATTTTGTGGGTGGTCATTAAATGATTATAAAAAATAATTATATATAAGCACATTATATGCTCAAATTTCCTATAACAGAAACATTTTTAACACTATCACATCTCAATTAAATGAACATTGTGAGGAACACACGTAGCTTCCAATACTTATAATACTAATAAAACTAGAAAATAAACTTATTGTACCAAAACAGCTATAAATATCATAAATAATAAAACCTAACTTGGCTGGAGTCAGGAACATGTATAAAAGTGAATAGATAAGAAAGATTCTTTTTTGAGATAGAAGAGAAGAAGGAAATTATGACTGCAGCTATTTTTCACAGGCTGAGCATGTCAGACTGTAGGGGAACATCTGAAGAAACTGGTAAAATTTGAAAAAAATAGAGGACAGAAGACACCAAAACAGACAAGAAAGCAAGCTGTGAAGCAGAATTGAGTAATTAGTTAAAACTGGCATTCATATTATATATTTCTTAGGCAACAATTCCCCCCACTTCAATCATGTTCTATAGCTAATGCTATGGATTCAAGCTTTTGACAGTGTAATTCTTCAAGGATGAATGAAGAAGGTCACACTGTAATAAATATTTCAGAAAAGTAGCTACCAAATAGTATTAAGGGTAGTTGACTTGAAACAATAGGGGAGAAACTTATTTGGTAATCTTTTAAAAGTAATAAAGAAAGTAGAGTGTATTTTTAAAGTGATTAGTCTACTTTAAGGAAAGGACAACTCAAGATCCCAATTTAAAGACTTAGTATGTATAAAACAAAAACAGGAATTATAATGGAAAAGAATGATTCATAAATCTGATTAACATAAAAATTTAAAAACATCTGATGTCATTGCTAAGAGAGAAATGTGTATCAAAACTACAATGAGGTATCATATCACACTTGTTAGGAAGGTCAACAACAAAAGTCTACATATAACAAATACTGGAGAGGCTGTGGAGAAAAGCGAACCCTCCTACACTGTTGCTGGATAGACAAACTGGTGCAGCTACTATGAAAAACAAGATGCTGGTTCCTTAAAAAACTAGAGTTGCCATATGATCCTGAAATTACACTCTTGGGCATATATCTGGAGAAAACTCTTAACTCAAACAGGTACATGCATCCCAATGTTCATAGCAACATTATTTACAAGAGCCAAGACATGGAAGCAACCTAAATGTCCCTGAAAGATGCCTGGATAAGGATGATGTGGTGTATATATGTATACACACACACACACACAGGAATACAACCCAGCCATAAAAAAGAATAATGCCATTTGCAGCAGCAGGGATACACCTAGAGGCAATAATACTAAGTGAAGTAAGTCAGAAAGAGAAAGACAAATATATTATGATATTACTTATCTGTGGAATATAAAATATGATAAAAATGAATCTATGGGAGGAATAAACCAGGAGTCTGGGATTAGCAGATACAAACTACTATATACAAAATAGCAACCAGATCCTACTGTACACCACAGGGAACTATATTAAATATCCTGAAATAAACCATAATGGAATAGAATATGAAAAGAACATACATATATATAACTGAATCACTTTGCTATACACCAGGAACTAACACAGCATTGTAAATCAACTATACTTCAATTAAAAATTGAAAAGAAAAAAACAAAAAGCACACCTAATTTTGAAAAAAGGACTTCCTGGGTAGCACAGCAGTAAGAATCTGCCAGCCAAGCAGGAGATGTGGGTTTGATCCCTGAGTCAAAAAGATCCCCTGGAAAATGAAACGGCAGGCCACTCCAGTATTCTTGCCTGGGAAATCCCATGGACAAAGAAGCCTGGCAGGCTACAGTTCATGGGGTCAAAAAAGAGCCGGACACAACTTAGTGACTAAACAACAACAAATATCAAAAAACCACCTCAACAAAATTAAAAGACAAAACAAATTGGAATGTTTACCTTTATCAAATAGGATAAAGCACTAACATTTTTAAGCAATAGAAAGCTGTTCATCATATACTGGGAAAAAGGGAAAAACCCTCAAAAACAAACCCATCGTATGAACAAGAAGATAGCAGGGCAAAGGGCACAAATAATTCACTAGAAGAAAACTATATGTGTTAAGAAAACAAATGACTTGTGAGATCAAAATAAATATGTAAAAACTAAATACACTAGAAACTGATAGAATTTTTCTGAAGGATAATTTAGCAATGTTTCATAAGCCTTAATGTATTTAGACACTTTGACTTAGTAATTCAACTTCTAGGACTTTTCTTAAACAGACAGAATTTTTAAAATTTATATTGCTATTTTAGTCAGCTCAGTTCAGTTGCTGAGTCGTGTCTGACTCTTTGACCCCATGGACTGCAGCCTGCCAGGCTTCCCTGTACATCACCACCTCCCGGAGCTTGCTCAAACTCTTGTCCATCAAGTCGGTGAGGTCATACAACCATCTCATCCTCTGTCATCCCCGTCTCCTCCTGCCTTCAATCTTATCCAACATCAGGGTCTTTTCTAATGAGTAGCTCTTTGCATCAGGTGGTCAAAGCACTGGAGCTTCAGCTTCATCATCAGTCCTTCCAGTGAATATTCAGGACTAATTTCCTCTAGGACTGACTGGTTTGATCTCCTTGCAGCCCAAGGGACTCTCAAGAGTCTTCTCCAATGCAATTAAAAAGCATCAATTCTTTGCCACTCAGTTTTCTTTATGGTCCAACTCTCACATCCATACATGACTACTGGAAAAACCACAGCTTTGAGTAGACGGTCCTTTGTCAGCAAAGGACCTCTCTCTGCTTTTTGATATGCTATCTAGTTTGTCATAGCTTTTCTTCCAAGGAGCAAGTGTCTTTTAAATTCATGGCTGTGGTCACCATCTGCAGTGATTTCTAAACCCAGGAAAATAAAGTCTATCACTGTTTCCATTGTTTCCCCATCTATTTGCCATGAAGTGATAGGACCGGATACCATGATCTTCGTATTTTGAATGTTGAGTTTTAAGCCAGATTTTTAACTCTCCTTTCACTTTCATCAAGAGGCTCTTTAGTTCCTCTTTCTGCTATAAGGGTAATATCATCTGCATATATGAGGTTATTGATATTTCTCCCGGCAATCTTGATTCCAGCTTATGTTTCATCCAGCCTGGCATTTTGCATGATATACTCTACATATAAGTTAAATAAACAGGGTGATAATACACATCCTTGATGTACTCCTTTCCCAATTTGGAACCAGTCTGTTGTTCCATGTTCAGTTCTAATTGTTGCTCCTTGACCTGCATACAGATTTCTCAGGAGGCAGGTATGGTGGTCTGGTATTCCCATCTCTTGAAAAATTTTCCACAGTATGTTGTGATCCACACGGTCAAAGGCTTTAGTGTAGACAATGAAGCACAGGTAGATGTTTTTCTGGAACTCTCTTGATTTTTCTATGATCCAGTGGATGTTGGCAATTTGATCTCTGCTTCCTCTGCCTTTTCTAAATCCAGCTTGAACATCTGGAAGTTCTTGGTTCATGTACTGCTGAAGCCTCGCTTGGAGAACATTGAGCATTACTTTAATAGCATGTGAGATGAGTGCAATTGTGCAGTAGTTTGAACATTCTTTGGCATTGCCTTTCTTTGGGATTGGAATGTGCCCATGCTGAGTTTTCCAAATTTGCTGGCATATTCAGTGCAACAGTTTCACAGCATCATCTTTCAGGATTTGAAACAGCTTAGCTGGAATTCCATCACCTCCACTAGCTTTGTTCACAGTGACGCTTCCTAAGGCCCACTTGACTTCTCATTCCAGGGTGTCTGGCTCTAGGTGAGTGATCACACCACTGTGGTTATCTGCGTCATTAAGATCTTTTTTGTATAGTTCTTCTCTGTATTCTTGCCACCTCTTCTTAATATCTTCTGCTTCTGTTAGGTCCATATCATTTCTGTCCTTTATTGTGCCCATCTTTGCATGAAATGTTCCTTTGGTATCTCTAATTTTCTTGAAGCGATTTCTAGTCTTTCTCATTCTATTGTTTTCCTCTATTTCTTTGCACTGATCACTGAAGAAGGCTTTCTTATCTCTCCCTGCTATTCTTTGAAACTCTGCATTCAGATGGGTATATCTTTCCTTTTCTCCTCTGCCTTTAGTTTCTCTTCTTTTCCCAGCTATTTTTAAGGCCTCTTCAGACAACCATTTTGCCTTTTAGCATTTCTTTTTCTTGGGGATGGTCTTGATCACTGCCTCCTGTACAATGTCACAAACCTCTGTCCATATTTCTTCTATTTGCATGTAAATATTGCTATTTACATGTTGCAAAAAGATTACAAAAAACACCTAACTTTCCAATACTAAGGGAATACTTAATATTCCAGTATGTCAAAAATAGGTAGGAAGAATCCTAGATGAAGTACCTAGTTATGGGATTTAAACTAAAAAAAAAAAAAAAACACATGGTAAGGGAATTGCTCTATAAAAAGGAAATGATTCAATATTTATAGACACATACCTTTTCATTAAGACAGTCAATTAAATTTTCCACATAAATTTTCATGCTTTTATAGAATTTAAAACTTAGAGCTTGATTTGATGAATTCTCTAGGTTCTGGATGGTAGTCTTTGAGCTCTTGATATCTTGTATGTATTTTTCATATTCTCTTAGATGTGAGCGGTGAGTATCCTGTAGTAATGTTAATCTAAATAAATAGAAAATAAACATAAAAATTGCTTTATATTACAAATTTATTTCTATTATAGTAAGTAGTAGTCTAATGAAAATTTTTTCAGAGCTACCTTATAAAAACCACCAAGGAAACTGACAATCATACAAACCTGGGTTCATAACATGTGTGGAGCAAAGGAAAACTCCACGATAAGAGAGGCTTCAAAGGGAAAGGTAGCATAGGACACAGAGAGATTTTTAGGTGCTACAGCTAATCTCAGGGTAGTCTTAGAGGAGAAATTAGTGTGGCTCGATCAGAATATGTAAACTAGGTGACGTTCTAGAATAATCGTGCAAAGTCTCTTCAGTCATGTCCAACTCTGTGACCCTATGGACTGTAGCCCACCAGGCTCCTCTGTCCATGAGATTCTCCAGGCAACAGTACTGGAGTGGGATGCCATGCCCTCCTCCATATGTGTACTTACTTTATATAGGCAGTAACAGTCTTTCTTTTGCAATGTTTCAAAGGGTGGGGTATGTGTGGGGTCTGAGGTGGTCCAGTCTTCCAATCTTGATGAGCATCTCTGGACCTTTAATCTTTCCTCAGGTGGTTTCACTGCCTTCCATTTCTCTTCAAGCTGCTGCTCAGGACACTGCTCTTTTTCACACTTTCAGGAGCATCGGGTCTTCTGCTTTGAAGAGATATAAGGGAGCTTCCAGGCAAGGCGGAGACCTTGTCCCATTTTAGGTGAGTTTTCCAGCACAGCTTCACAAGTGATGTCTTAATAATGTCCTTGTTGTTATTGTTGTTCAGTCGCTCAGTTATGTCCGACTCTTTGCAACCCCATGGACTGCAGCACTCCAGACTTCCCTGGCCTTCACCATCTCCTGGATCTTGTTCAAACTCACGTCTATTGAACTGGTGATGCCATCCCACCATCTTATCCTCTGTCGTCCCCTTCTCCTGCCTTCAATCTTGCCCAGCATCAGGGTCTTTTCCAATGATTTGGATCTTTGCATCAGGTAGCCAAAGTATTGCAGCTTCAGCTTCAACACCAGACCTTCCAATGAATATTCAGGATTGATTTCCTTTAGGATTGATTGGTTTGATCTCCGTGCAGTCCAAGGGACTCTCAAGAGTCTTCTCCAACATCACAGTTCAAAAGCAATCAATTCTTCAGTGCTCAGCCTTCTCTATGGTCCAACTCTCACATCCACACATGACTACTGGAAAAAACCATAGCTTTGACTAGATGGACCCTGGTTGGCAAAGTAATGTCTCTGCTTTTTAATATGCTGTCTAGGCTGGTCATAGCTTTTCTTCTTCATGGCTGCAGTCACCATCTGCAGTGATTTTGGAGCCCAAGAAAATAAAGTCTCTCACTGTTTCCACTGTTTCCCCATCTATTTGCCATGAAGAGATGGGACCAGATGTCATGATCTTCATTTTTTGAATGTTGAGTTTTAAGCCAGATTTTTCACTCTCCTCTTTCACTTTCACCAAGAGGCTCTTTAGTTCCTCTTGACTTTCTGCCATAAGGGTGGTGTCATCTGCCTATCAGAGGTTATTGATATTTCTCCCGGCAATTCTAATTCCAGCTTGTGTTTCATCCAGTACAGCATTTTGCATGATGTGCTCTGCATATAAGTTAAATAAACAGGGTGACAATATTCAGCCTTGATGTACTCCTTTCCCAACTCAGAACCAGTCTGTTGTTCCATGTCCAGTTCTAACTGTTGCTTCTTCACTTGCATACAGATTTCTCAGGAAGTAGATCAGGTGGTCTGGTAATCCCATCTGTTAACGAATTTTCAAGTTTGTTGTGATCCACACAGTCAAAGGCTTTACTGTACTCAATGAAGCAGAAGTAGATATTTTTCTGGAACTCTCTTGCTTTTTCTATGACCCAGTGGATGTTGGCAATTTGATCTCTGATTCCTCTGCCTTTTCTAAATCCAACTTGAACATTTGGGAGTTCTCAGTTCATGTACTGTTGAAGCCTCACTTGGAGAATATTGACCATTACTTTGCTTGCGTGTGAGATGAGTGCAATTTGGTGGTAGTTTGAACATTCAACCTTAATCATATCCTTAAGAAGGGTTTTTGTCATTTCTGATGCTTCAGTGGTCTTATATTTGAAACCTAAGAGTCCATGTGGAATTACTGTTAGATCAGTCTGTGGTCTTCCTTAGAATATAGGTATCAGTTAGTGTTAGTCACTCAGTCGTGTCCGACTCTTTGGGACCCCATCGACTGTGGCCTCTGTCCATGGAATTCTCTAAGCAAAAATACTGGAGTGGGTAGCCACTGCCTTCTCCAGGGGATCTTAAAGCCATTTGAGCATGCTATGATTTGGTATGAATTTTTTGTTTTGTGACCTATTTTGACACTGTGATTACATCAGAATTAGAGAATTAACTACCAATGAAATAAATTTGTAGTATTTGGACCTGAATCAAACAATTGAAAAAATTAAACTTTTGCCAATCTCCTTATGGGCTTCCCTGGTGGCTCAGTGGTACAGAATCCGCCTGCCGATACAGGAGATACAGGTTCGATCTCCAGGCAAGATCCCCTGGAGATGGAAATGGCAGTGCATTCCAGTATTCTTGCCTTGCAAATCCCATGGACAGAGAAGCCTGGCACATCAGGCTTAGCTGCCCTATGACATGTGTAATCTTCCCAGACCAGGGATTGAATCTGTGTCCCCTACATTGGCAAGGTGTACTTTTAACCACTGGACCACCTGGGAACTCCAAGAAATAACTATTTATAGCAATAGATAATGGTTAGCTACGCTTTAGAAATGTATTTGTACCAAGAACCTTGAACAAAATGTTCATTATCTGTAGCATTATTTATAATAGACAAATTTAGAAACCAAAACGTCTAACATAGAAATGCAATATACCAACTATATGGATAAACAAAACATTACTATATGCTTATAATTTTTTACTGTAGTAAAAAGCACGTAACTTACAATCTTAACCATTTTAAAGTACATTACAGTAGTATTAACTATAGGCACACTGCTGTATAACAGATCTTTAGAACTTTTTCATCTTGCAGAACTGAAACTCTATACTCACTGATCAACAACTTTCCATTCGACTCCCCTCCACACGGGGCAACCACCATTCTACTTTTAGTTTCTAAGAGTTTGACTACTTTGCTTGTGCGCTTAGTTGCTGAGTCCTGTCTGACTCTTTGTGAACCCACTGCCTATAGCCCGCCAGGCCCCTATGTCCATGGAATTTTCTAGGCAAGAATACTTGTGTGGGTTGCCATTTCCTACTCTAGGAGATCTTCCTGACCCAGGGATTGAACTGGGGTTTCTTGCACCTCCTGAACTGGAAAGTGGATTCTTCACCACTGCAACACATCATACAGAGCTTCCCAAGTGGCTCAAGCAGTAACAAATCCACCTGCCAATAAAGGAACTGCAGGAGATGTGGGTTCAGTCCTTGGGTTGAGAAGATCCCTAGAGTGAGGTTATGTTCTGTAATTCTCTAATTATTAGTGATGTTGAGCATCTCTTCATGTTCCTTCACCACTTGTATGTCTTCGAGAAAGGTTTATTCCAATCCTTTGACCATCTTTCTGCTGGGTAGTTTGTTGCTGAATTATATGAGCTACTTACATATTTTGGGTATTAACCGCTTATCATATATACGGTTTGCAAATGTATTCTCTTATTCTGTTGGCTGCCTTTTCACTCTGTTTATTATTTCCATGCTGTGCAGAAACTAGTTCCATATAGTTCCAACTGTCTATTTTTGCTTTTATTGCTTGTGTTTTTTCTTTCTTGGGTCCTTTGAGATTCCATATATATTGGTGTTGGAGAAGACTCTTGAGAGTCCCTAGGACTGCAAGGAGATCCAACCAGTCCATCCTAAAGAAAATCAGTCCTGAATACTCACTGGAAGGACTGATGCTGAAGCTGAAACTAATACTCTGGCCACCTCATTCAAAGAACCAACTCATAGGAAAAGACCCTGATGCTGGGAAAGACTGAAGGCAGGAGGAGAAGGGGAAAACAGAGGATGAGATGGTTGGATGGCATCACAGACTCAATGGACATGAATTTGAGTAGGCTCTGGGAGTTAGTAATGGACAGGGAAGCCTGGAGTGCTGCAGACCATGGGGTTGCAAAAAGTTGGACACGACTGAGCAGCTGAACTGAACTGAATGTATTTTAGGATTTTTTTCCCTGTTTCTGCAAAAAATGCCATTGGAATTTTGATAGAGAATGCATTACATCTATAGATTGCTTTGGGTAATATGGACATTTTAACTATATTAAAATTTCTAAACCATGATCATGGATACCTTTCCATTAATTTATGTCTTCAATTTCTTTCAGCAATATTTTGTAATTTCTGGTTAATAAAACTTTCACCCCTTGACTAATTCCTAAGTTATATTCTTTTTGATGCTATTGTAAATGTTTTCTAAATATATATTTTTGGATTTTTCATTGTTAGTGCACAGAAACAACTGACTTTCATCCTGCAATTTTGCTAGATTTATTAGCTCTAGCAGGGTTTGTGTTTGTTTGTTTGTGTTAAATGCAGTCTTCAGGTTTTCCCATGTGTAAGATCATGTCAACTGTGAACAGAGATAATTTTACTTCTTGCTCTCCTATTTTGATGTCTTTTTATTTTTATTCTCACCTGAATTCTCTGGCTAGGGCTTTCAATACCTTGTTGAATACAACAGACAAGAATAGACATCCTTGCCTTGTTCCTGACCTACAGGGAAAGCTTTCAGTTTTCCATGACTAAATATGATATTAGCTGTCCATTACTCCTATATGGTCTTTATTATGTTGAAGTAGTAACAATTTCTCACAAAAGCATGCTTAACATCATCAAAGGCTTTTCCTGTACCAGCTGAAATGATTGTGTGGTTTTCACCATTCATTCTGTTTATATAGTGTATCACACTGATTTTCTTATGAAACACCCTAATAATTCCAGGAATAAATCTCACTTGGTCATGGCATATAATCCTTTTAACTTACATTTGCAAGTATTTTATTGTGGATTTTTACATCAATACTCATCAAGGATACTGGTTTACTAATTTCCTTTTCTTACGCTATCTTTGGGATTTTGGGGATCAGGGTAATGCTGACCTCAGAGAATGAGCTTGGGAATGTTATCTCCTCTTCAGTTTTTTGGAAGAGTTTGAGAAGGAACGGTGTTAATTCATTATTAAATGTTTGGCAGAATTAGGCAGTGAGGCCATCTCACACATATATATGTATATAACTGCTATACTGTCCCAATGAATTGATCCTTTTATATTATACAATGGCTTTCATAGTCTCTTGTAGTTTTTAACTTAAAATCCTTTTCTCTAAGTAATGCCACTCCTGCTCTCTTTTGTTTACTGTTTGCATGGAATCTTTCTGCAAGACTTTCACTTTCATTCCATATACATCCTTAAGTCTAAGTGAGACTCTTGTAGATGGTATACAGTTGTATCTTGCCTTTTTTTTGTTTTGTTTTTTTGGCTTGGGTGGCTTGTGGGATATTAATTTCCCGACTAAGGACTGAACCTGGGCCCTAACCAATAGACTGCCAGGGAATTACTGGATCTTGCTTTTCTTTTCAACCCATTCAGCCACTGTACATCTTTTGATTCTAGAATTTAATCCATTTATATTTAAAGTAATTACTGATATGGAAGGACTTATGATTACCATTTTAAAATTGCTTTTTGTCTTATAGTTATTTTGTCCCTCTTCCTCTCTTGTTGCCTTGGGCTTTGTTATTTTATTTTTTTAGGGATGTATTCTGGGTCATTTTCATTTTCCACTGCATATCTTCTATAGGTATTTCTTTTATGCTTACCATGGGGTTTACAAAAAATATTGCAATTCCAGTAATCTCTTTTAAACTGAAAACATCTTAACTTCAATCTCATATGAAAACTCTATTCCTTTACATCTCCCCTGCCACCTCTTGTTATTGATACCACAAATTACATTAAAATTTTTATATGCATTAACATAATATCATAATTATTTTTGTGTTTTTACCTTCTAAATTCAATTTCTGAATTGAAAGTGATTGTCATACCACTCTTACAGTATTACAGGATTCTGCACTACACATACATTTACCTTTACCAGAGAACTCTGTATTTTTATATGCCTCATGCTACTGTACAGTGTCCTTTCATTCAACTTGAAGGATATCTTTCCTCAATTTTTGTAAGGCAGGTCTAGTGCTGATGAACTCCCTCAGCTTTGTTTATCTGAGGTCTTTATTTCTCCTTCATGAAGGGCAGTTTTGCTAGATACAGTAATCTCTGTTGGCAGTTTCCTTCTTTCAGTACTTTGAATATATCTTCCTACTCTCTTCTGGTCTGTTAACAGAGAAGACCTTTGTTGAGACGCCTCCTGGTAATGTTATGGGACTCCTTGGACATGACAAGGTCCTTTTGTTTTGTCACTTAATTCTTTCTTTGTATCTAGAAAGTCTGTCTCAGTGCAAGCCTCCTTGGGTTAATCCTTGTTGGAGTCCTTTAGCTTTTGAAATTGAATGCCCATTTCCTTCTTCAGGCTGGTAAGTCTTTGGTCATTATATCTTCAGATAAGCTCTCTGTCCCATTCTGCTCTCTTCTCCTTCTTGGATTCCCATAAAGTATATGATATTCTGCTTGATAGCATCGTGTAAATCCCTTATGTTCTTTTTTTTCACTTTTCTTCATTCTCTTTTCCTTTTTGTTACTCTAACTTGGTAATTTCAAATGACTATTCTTTGAGGTCATCGCTTGTTTCTTCTGCTTGACAGAGTCTGCTTTGGATCCCCTTTAGTAAATTTTTCAGTTCAGTTATTGTATTTTCAGCTCCAGAACCTCTGGTTCTTTTACAGTTTCCATCTCTGTTGTTATTCCAACCTTGCTCATTATCTCCCTGATTTCTTTAGTTGTCTGTGCTCTCTTATGGCACATTAAGCTTCTTTAAGAGGATCATTCTGAATTCTCTGTCAGGTAATTCATAGGCCTCTGTTTCTTTTGGTTTTGGAAACTAATTTTGGTCCTCTAACTGGGTTTCCTTGCTTCTTCACACGTCTGGTTGTCTTTATGTTGTACTTTTTGTATTTGAAAATGCACGTAAGGGCAGTTTCTCCTCTATTTGAAGCTGTATCCCTTAAGTGCATTTCAATTAGTCTGGATAAGGATTCCCAGTGGTGTAGTATGGGGAAGACTGTCTTCTCAAACCTTTCATGGGGGATGATTCTCCTCAGCGTTTCTAGAGATTTCCCAATTAGAGACATTTGTGGGTTTTCCAGGATTTTATGGTCTCTTGGTCCCCCTGGTGTTTGTAGTACTGAAAGCTTTCTGGCTCTGCAACAGGCTGCTTAGCTCGTTCTTGTCCTCTGTGGCCCTCAGGAATGTAATGTATGATGGTTCTCCAACAGTCCTCTGAGAGAGATAAGAGAGAGACAGAGACAAATCCTTTGGGCAGTACCTCTAGAATATAGAATATATGTTATAGAATATATGTTCTGCTCTTTCCCTTCCAAAGGAAAAGCTAGGAGTCAGGTTTTCTTCTCTCCATCAAAAGCGATGCTGGCTTGCTAGAGTGGCTAGATGCAGTTGGAATGAAATGGCTTTTCTCACCCATTACAATGTGGCTAATCTGGGCTTTGAGCTTCCCTGGGATACCACAACTTCCTGATTTCTGGGGTACTCATAAACACTTTTTGGATAGTAAGTGTTGTTCAGTTGATATCTCTGTGGGGCAACGAGGTCTGGGGCTTCTAATTCTGCCATCTTGCTGCCATAACTTCCAGCATACTATTTTTCAAAACTGAGGGCTATTTAACAATGTAGATAAATGCAGATTAAAAATAGTAAGTTAAAAAAAGCAGGAGTTGATATTATTTATTGATTTTAACTACATGATATATCTATTATAAACACTGAAAGACATATAAAAGAGGTTCAGTTATGTTAGTGTAGTAACACAGGTGATGCTAATTTTTCCTGTAACCCTTTAATATTATCATTTAATAATTAATAAAATACTTATATTTATGGCTGTGTCAGGTCTTAGCTGTGGCTCACAGGCTCAGTAGTTGCCCTGCATGTGGGATCTTAGTTCCCTGACCAGGGACTGAACCCAAGTCCCCTGTACTGTAAGGCAGATTTTTAACCACTGGACCAAGGGACGTCTCAATTAAAAATATTATAGTGCTAATTTTTTCACTACTAAATGTCTATAACAACTGTACATTTTGAAATTAATATTACTTACCTAGTATTTAGTTGCTTCTTTATAATTTCTAAGCTTACTGGTGGAAATGAAACGGAAGCATCAAACTTCTTCACTGTTTGAGATTCACGGCTATAAGAAAGATCTATGTCTTGTCCCTAAAAATAATATGAAAATTTGTGTTGTTTTCAACATTCATTAGTCCTTCAAATATTAATACTGTGAAAGCATACTGGATACACTAAGGTCTCACCAGCTTAAAATTCCATGCCTCTGACATTTTTTATGGTTGTAATAAAATGTTTTTAAAATTTAAACAGTTTTAAAATTTAGAACTTTAAACTTACATGCAAGAGGCAAAATACAAAATCTCATTTTCCACAAAAGCTTGGTTTTCATTGTTTTTAAAGCTAGTTCTATTTATGATCTAATATACTTTCAAAAAAACAAATACCAGAGGCTTCAATCAAGATGGCAAAATAGAAATATAAGTAAAATGAAGACACAGAAGAACGACTCTCAATTAAAAGATCAAGAGAATTGCCTTAAAAGAACAATCACTGAAACAGACCTCTCCAGTCTAACAAACACTGATTTCAAAAAGGAGATAATGGAAATACTGAAGGAATTAAGAAAGGAATGAAGAAAGTCTGTATTTCAGTTGAAATGCAGACTACTCTAAAAAGGAACTAGAAACTAGAAAGAGGAGCCGAGAAAAATTAGAAAACTCACTTGCCAAGATGAAAGCTGAGCTAAAGGCAATATAAATAGAAAATGAATAATGCAGAACACATAAGTGTTCTGGAAGATGGAATAATGGAAATCACCCAATCAGAGCAGCAGACAGAAAACCAAATGAAGAAAATGAAAGCAATGTGAGAATTATGGGATAATATAAAGAATGCCAATCTATGCATAACTGGAAAAAGGAAGAAAGGGAAAAGGGAATAGAAAATGCATTTCAAGAAATTATGGCTGAAAACTTCCCAAACTTAAACAAGGAAACAGATATCTAAGTATAGGAAGCACAGTAGTCACTTCAGTCACATGTCCGACTCTTTGGAACCCCAAAAAATGTAGCCTGCCAGGCTCCTCTGTCCATGGAATTCTCCAGGCAAGAACACTGGGGTGGGTCACCATGTCCTCCTCCAAGGAATCTTCCTAACCCAGGGATCGAACCTGCATCTCCTGCATTGCAGACAGATTCTTTACCCACTGAGCCACCTGGGAAGCCCATAAGAAGCACATGGTCTCAAACTAGATGAACTCAAGCAGACATAAACATATTATCATTAAAGCGGCAAAAGTTAAAGATAAAGATAGGATTCTAAAGGCTGCATGAGAAAAACAAAGAGTTAATTACAAGGGAACCCTCATAAGGCTATTAACTGATTTCTCTATAGAAAACGTTGCAGGCTAGAAGGGAGTGGCAAAATATATTCAAAGTCCAAAAAGGAAAAAAATATGCAACCTAGCATACTCTACACATCAAGATTATCACTGAGAATAGGAGAAAGAGAGAGAATTTCTCAGAAGAGAAAAAACTAAAAGAATAACAGCAATATTAATCTATCCTAGCAAAGAAGCAATAATCTATAGAAAAGACAAAAAAGAGAAAATCCAAAATGGAATGGAAATCACTTAAATGAGCCAGTATACATATTAAATTAAATTTCACGAAGACATTTTTTATGAAAGCAATGATAAACAAAATGAACAGCAAAAGCGTAAACATGAAGATGTAAAAGAGGGTATCAAAATCATAAAATGCCAAGTTGGAAAGTAAAAATACATAGATTTTTAAATTTTAGAATGTGTTTGAGGACATATGACTATCAGCCTAAAGGAAGTAGATATAGTAATGGGTTAACATACTTGAAAACAGTGTGGGTAACCACAAGTTGGGCTTCCCTTGTAGCTCAGCTGGTAAAGAATCTGCCTGCAAAGCGGGAGACCTTGGTTCGATCCCTGGGTTGGGAAGATCCCCTGGAAAAGAGATAGGCTACCCAGTCCAGTATTCTGGCCTGGAGAATTCCACGGACTGTGTCACAAAGAGTCAGACATGACTGAGTGTGAAACCACAAATTTAAAACATACAACAGAGTCACAAAAATCAATTAAGAAGAGAACACAAGCATAATACAAAAGAAATCATCAAACCATAAAAGGAAAAAAATAATAATAAAGAAGAAATAAAAAATCAACTGGAAAATAAGGATAAAAATGGCAATAAATATGTATCTATTAATAATCACCTTAACTGCCAATGGACTAAATGCTGCAATCAGAAGACAATGAGTGGCAGACTGGATTAAAAAACAAGAGCCCACAATATGCTACCTACAAGAGGCCCACTTTAGGGTGAACAACACACAGACTGAAAGTGAGCGGATGGATAAAGATATTTCATGCAAACAAAAATGATAATAAGAAAGCATGGGTAGCAGTAATGGACTTGAAAACAAAGGTCATAAAGAAAGATAAAAAAGGACACTATATAAGGAAAGAATCAACATAAGAAGAGTATATTACATTCAACATATATGCACCCAATATAGGAGCACCCGATTACACAGAACAAATAGAGACTAAAGGGAGAAATGGACAGGAATACAACAGTAAGAGATTTTAATAACCTACTCATATCAATGGACAGGTCTTCTAGACAGAAATCAATAAGGCAACAGAAATCCTAAAGGATACACTAGAACATTTAGACTTAACTGATATTTTCAGGACATTATATATAAAAAAAAAAACAATATACATTCAAGTGCACATGGAATATTCTCCATGATTGACCACATACTGGGGCACAAAAGAAGCCTTAACAAATTTAAGCAGCTTTTCTGACCACAACAGCATGAAACTGAAATTAAACACAGAAATAGAAATGACAAAACAAACAAAAAACTCGATTACCTGGAGCCTAAAGAACTTGCCTCAAAAACAAAAAACAAAAAAAAACCCAATGGGTCAATGATGAAAGCAAAGAAGAAATTAAAAAATACCTTGAGAAAAATTACAATGAAAAGATAACCATATAAAAATCTGTAGGATACAGTAAAAGCAGTTCTTAGAGGGCACTTCACAGTGATATAGGCCTTCCTCAAGAATTTGAAAAAGGAGAAAAAACAAAACTCAAAATCAGAAGAAGGAAGAAAATAATAACGATCAGAGAGGAAATAAAGTAGGGACTAAAAATAATAGAAATCAATAAAAACAAGGGCTGTTTCTTTGAAAGAATAAATAAGATTGACAAACCTCTAGCCAGTCTCACCAAGAAGAAAAGAAAGAGGAATCACATAAACAAAGTGAGATATGAAAGAGGAGAAATCACAACTGATATTGCAGAAATACAAAAAAACTATAAGAAAACACTATGAACAATTATATACTGACAAACTGAACAACCTGGAAGAAATGAACAAATTTCTACAAACATAACAGGTCACCAGAATTGAATCAAGAAGAAACAACATACTTTGAAAAGACCAATCACTTGAAGTGAAACAGAATGTGCAATTAAAAAAAAACAAAACCTCCCTACAAACAAAAGCCCAGGACCTAACAGCTCCCCAGGCAAATTCTATCAGACATACAAAAAAGAATTCATACTGATCCCTCTCAAAATCTTCCAAAAGACTATAAAGGAGTGAGCACTCCCACGGACATTCTATGAAGGCACTATTACCCTGATACCAAAACCAGATAAAGATACTATAAAAAAAAGAAAATTACAGGCCAGTATCTTTGATGAATATAGATGCAAAAAGTCCTAATAAAATACTAACAACACATAGAAAAGATCATAAACTATGACCAAGTTGGATTCATCTCAGGATCACAGTGATGGCTCAACATGCATAAATCAATCAATGAATGTGATTAACCACATTTGACACAGAAAAGACAAAACTACATGATCTTCTCAATAGATGTAGGAAAAGCATTTAACAAAATTCAACATTCATGATACAAACTCTTAAGAAACTGGGTACAGAGGGAACATACTACAAGGTAATAAAAGCTACAAACCTACAGCCAACATAATACTCAGCAGTGAAAAATGGAAAGCCTTCCTGGTAAAATCTAAATCAAGACAAGGATGCCCACCCTCACCTCTTCTATTCAACACAGTACTGGAAGTACTAGCCACAGCAAATAGACCAAAAAAAAGAAATAGAAGGTATCTAGACTGGAACTGAAGAGGAAAAATTGTCATTTGAAAATGTATCATGATACATAGAAAACCATAACAACCCACACAAAAACTATCAGAACTGTTAAACAAATTCATGAACTAGCTAGGATACAAGATTAACACACAGAAATTGGTTGCATTTTTTTTTACACTAACAAGGAACTATCAGAAAGAGAAAGAATAAAAATAATCCCTTTTAAAATCACATAAAAAATACTTAGAAATAAACCTCACCAAGGAGGTAAAAGACTTATGTGCTGGGAACTATAAAACATTAGTAAAGGAAACTGAAGATGATTTAAAGAAATGGAAGACATCCCATGCTGTTGAGTTGGAAGAATTAACATTGTTACAATGTCCATACTACTCAAAGCAATCTCTACATTTAATGTGATCCCTATCAAATTACCTATAACATTTTTCACAAAACTAGAACAAATAAGCCATATGAAACCACAGAATTGCCAAAGCAATCCTGAGGAAAACAAGCAAAGCTATAGGCATGACCCTCCTAAACTTCAGACAATCCTATAAAACTATAGTAATTAAAACAGTGTGATACTGGCACAAAAACAGACATGTGGATCAATGTAAAAAAAACTAAGAAATAAATCCACACAACTATGGCCAATTGGTCTTCGACAAAGGAGGCAAGAACACAACAATGGAGGAAAGAATTTATTCCACAAGTGGTGTTGGAAAAGTTGGACAGCCACATGTAATTTAACAAAGTAAGAACATACCCTTACTCCATACACAAAAAATAAATTCAAAATGGTTTAGAGATGTAAATGTAAAACATGACATCAGAAAACTCTTGGAAGAGAACATAGGCAAAACATTCTCTGACATAAATTATACAGATATTTTTTTACGTCAAAGCAAATTAGAAGTAGAAGCAAAAATAAATAAGTAGCACCCAATCAAGCTTATAAGCTTTTGTACAACAAGGGA